CACTCTGGCGTATCGCCCCCAGGCGAACGGACAACAGGAGCGGTCGGTGCAGACTGTCGTGCGCAGCATTCGAGCGTACATTGCTGAGGCGGACCAGAGTGACTGGGACGACCATGCTGAGCGCCTGATGTTTGCCCTGAATACATCGTTCGATGCCACTCGCCTGGTCACTCCGTTTTTTCTGGTGCACGGCTGGGACGCACACGGCACGGTGTCTGCAATGTTAGGACCCAGGCCCTCGAGTATCCAGGAGCGCACTGCGTACGAGTGGCGCAGGAAGCTACAGCGTGACTATAGTTATGCACAAGTTTGCGCTGAGGATCTTCAGAAGAAGGCCAAGCGCGCGCGCTCTGCCGAACAAACCAGGAAGTGGAGAGAGCTGTCCGAACGACTGAAGGCAGGATTCGCAGCCGGTGATGCTGTGTGGCTGTATATACCCAAAGTGCAGCCCGGGCTGAGCCGCAAACTGGTTCACATGTGGCATGGCCCCTTCAGAATTCAGGAAATCCATGACAACTTCCGCGTGAAACTCAGGGTCGAGAAGACAGGATATCGCGTGAATCCCTGGGTACACGTGAGCCGTTTGAAACCCAGAGCACTATTTCTGAAGCGGCCCACAGTGGAGATCGACGTGGACGAGGATGATGACTTTGATGCGGCGCTGTTGCCTGAACACAGTTGGGAGCCCGACGCTGCGAACGATGAGTACGAAGTTGAGCGAATCCTGGATTTGCGATGGACTAAACGGACTCGGACAGCGAGACGAATTCGTGAGTACCTTGTGAAGTGGAAGGGGTATGATGAGACCGAGTGGCTGCCTGTGTCGGAGCTCAACTGTGGTGCCCTACTCTACGAATTCAATCAAGGCGCAAGAGCGCGGGCCCGTTTCCAGGCCAGGCAGGCTGGAGATGATCACCCAGGAGTCTAGCACTCTGGGGTGACAATGACCCAGAGTTACACGTGATATTCAGGGGAAACTCTGGGTGACACTGTGAAACTCTGGGGAAAATCGACGGAATGCGTGAATATTGGAGACGGAAAACGTGAATGTGATTTGACTTGATTTGATTATGGAGAAGGAGACGCGCTCGGTCACGCCCGTCTTGGTGCTGCCCGTCGAAGTGTCGCCGGACGCTGGTGCGGTGCTCGCAGGGGCGTCGCCGGTGCGCTGCTGTGTCGGAGGTGGCGCGCTGCCGGGGGGCCGTCGCTTGCTTGCCGTCCGAAGTCGCGCTCTCCGCCATGTTGACGATCTGCGAAATGGCGATGTGACTGCGCATTGCCCGTTGGAATTTCTGCGTTTGAGAGGAGAACCTTGAAGATAGGTCCTGACCAACCGTTCGGGAGACAGGGTGCCGCCAAAGTGAGTGAAACCCTGGGAGTCGACAGAGTGCAACGGCCGTATCGAAGTCGACGGTGGATGGACCTGTGCGTTTTTGTGGCCTGGCCATGGTTCACCAGTTCGGAGCGATTTCCTCTTTGATGGACCCGGACGAGGAGGGGCGGTTGACACGAGGCGGTCCCCAGAAAATTGCCGACGATGTGCCGTCACCTCTGTGACCTGGAGTTTGTATCGGATGCTGATTGGTGGATGACTTGGATACGGCGCGGCTGTACCCGTGTGACATGGATGGCGACTGTGGGAGAGAAGTGATTTCTCGCGATATATCCAGCGTCTGACCGTAGATGGGTCCAACTGGCTGGAAGTTTGAATCCTGGGAGTGCACGCCCAGAATTTCAAGAGAACACTCAGTCCAGCCGCGGACTTCCCTTACGATGAGTGCCTAAAGTCTGGCGGAAAGTGTCTCTGGAGAATGTATCCCAGAGTACACCTCATCTTGCTGTGGCTCAGAGTGCCCCAGAGGATCAAATTACCCTGAGAATCAACCCACTACTACCATGATCATGCGCAGGAGGCCGCTAAACCCACTAAAAGTGTGGCTTCGAGGAGATACACACGAGTCTGCACCGCAGCAGACTTGTTACCTAGAGTGCCGCACGGAAACCTAGAGTGCCGCACGATGACCCAGAGTTCACCTCCCTGAGTGCAGGTGACCCAGAGTTCCAAAGATGATTCTCTGGGTTTGGACCATAAATCCAGACTCTCTATACTGAACTTAAGTGTTTCCCGAGCCAACACCCAAGAATCCCCACAGTTCCCCAAGATTCCTCAGAATTCCCAGGATTTCAGAAGATGACCCTGAGTGTCACCTGATTTTCAGGGATTCGAGTCAGTTCGCAGTCAGTCTGCAATCAAAGTGATGCGTGACCTTGAAGAACCGTTGTGGATGCGCAGACTGGATACTTTCGAGGAGTCGAGAGGGAGTCCTGCACCATACTAAACCAAGTCTAAGGACCCACAATTGGCACTTCCGACGCCGTGCGACAATGGATTCGCAAGCCGATCGCAAGTTTGGACCGCTGAACCCAAGGTATACTCAAGACAAGACATTTGACCCCAAGCATAGTAAACAGAAGATATTTGCCCGAAGAAGAGAGAGAGAAAGAGAGAGAAGTAGCTGATAAAAACCAAACAGAGTTCCTTTTTCCCTGTCGTACGCAAGTTACCTTGGAGCTGCCTACCAGAAGAGAGATGCATGGGGGACCACGGGACTAACGCTGACATCCACGATGCGGGTTACCATGGGGCGGCTCACCAGAAGAAAGATGCCTGGCGGGACCATGGGACTGATGCTGAAATCCTGGATGTGCGTTACCATGGAGTTGCTCACAGGAAGATGTTGCCCTGGGGACCATGGGACGAACGCTGGGAGTCGTGGACGGAAGATGGGTACAAGCTCTCACCACCCTGAAGTTGTTGAAGAATTTGAAGACTGTTGAAGAAAATCCTGGGAAGTGACCTGTTGAGGTCGGCCTGTTGAGGTCTAATAATTGGTATTCTGGCCTGTTGAGGCCTAGTCTGTTGAGATTAATAAAGAGTTTCGTTTACCCTGTACTGCGCAAGTGACTTGGGCCAAGCCTGCCGACGGAAATCCGGAGGACCCGAGACTACGACCGCGGGACGCTAAGGGCACATCAACGGCGAAGGACAGCCGTCTGTGTGGGCTCCATCAAACTCAAGTCCAGTTAGGTGGTGACCAGCGACGGCCTTGAGCTTCCTGGGGTGATCCATCTATTCCATATCCTAGTTGGGTCACTTGCTGTGCTCGTGGTAGCCCATTTCATATTATTCCAGAGGGTATTCTGGGGTGCTAGGTAGTCGCCTCCAGGATTTTGTATTGACTGCTTGTGTGAAGGGAAGGTAACTGATAGTGATAGTATTTTCCTCCTTTATTGGAGGTGGTGCGCGTTTGTGTGAGTCTCAGGGGAGCTAGGCCCCTGAATTTCAGACTCGAGTGAGCCTAGTGTGTGTGTGACCCACCGTCCAAGGGTCCAAAAGAATAAGTGACAGCTAGTTGTAGTGTTTGTATACTCTGTATTTGTTGGTTTTATCGAGCTAGGAGGGCATTTGGGTAAGGTGTCTTCTGAGTTCCAAGTCCCAGAGTTGACTGAAATCCTGGACCCTGAATTCGTGATATTCTGGGTTTCAGGGGATCTGATTCTCTGGGTTTGCCTTTTGGTGTGGAGGTGCGTTCTGAAGTAGACGTGCGCTCCCGCACTTCTTCGAGGCTACATTTTCAACCGGTGGAGTGCCGTTCCGTCGAAGACAAACGAGCCGACAGGGATTACAAAAGGTACCCACGCCAACCAAGGAGTGTGATTCTCAGGGTTTAAAGCTTTGCGGCTGCGAATCTCTGGGTCTATCTTCTTGCTGTTGACTCTCAAGTCGATTCTCTGGGTCTACCCCTGGGGAACAGTCTTGGGCTGCGCTATACGAACCCCCCTGGGCGACAAAGGTTTCATCGGCCTCGCCTCACATCAATGGCTGCTGGCGCCGATTGTCGTTGAAGACGACAACTGCATTCTACGCAGACATGATTACGTGAATTCGTTAGCCATGTTACATGTAGGCCCAAACTGACAAGGCAGGTTCACCTGTGGAAGCTCGCGTTGGTTGTCTTCATTATCCTGTTTGCCAATGAGTCAGCTGTCAGCCAACAGGGAACCCAATGGATCTGCAGTAGGCAACACCACCGTGTCGACTACAGTGAGCGACAACATACTTGGATCCGACTGTGATCTGACTGAAACATCTGAAGCCTTCGACTCAAAACTGCAGCACACAACCAGCTGATCGCTCTGTCGAAGCGCAGCAGCCGAAAAGCTCTCAAGAAGTCCCAGCGGAGAGCCGCGATTGGAACTGTTGAACTGGTGGGTTGGGTATGTTGGTTTGTAGCTTGTGGTTGAGGGGGCAAATTCCGAAGTGAGATTAAATGTTATCGTCTCTCAAACTACTATCTAGTCTTTCCCTCCTGCTTTCCTTCTTGTTCTCCTTGTGCTCGTTGGTGCCTCTCATCAGACGGATTACTCCCGGGTTCCGATTGACTTGATCTCAGTATACTTGGGTCTCCCTGACCAGCCATTGGTATATCCAGAGCCCGGCTGCCGCCGGCTCTCCCGTCGCCGTCGGATCCTCCGAGTCATCGGCAGATGTGTCCACACGTTCTCCTCGTCCGTGTGCATCGATTGGCGGCGCTCCCGAAGACTCATGAACAGGGCAACAGTGAGGGAAGCAACGCAGCAACTAAATTGCACGGGATATATCCAAAATGAGGAAGTAACAGACAATGGTACACCGCGCGCTGTAATCGGCTAGCAGACAGTAACAACGTGGCTAGTGTCAGTAGACATGCCTCGACTCCTCCCTGTTCCAGGCTGATGCACAGTACAGTTCTTCAGTAGCTCGGTCCAGGAGCAAACATAACCTGGTAAGTCACATCGTCCTTCTTCTGCCTGGGGTATTCCTGCGACGCGCGACTTGTAACAGAACCCTAGTTTTTTTGGGTATCTTACGGGATTTTTAAGGATCCAAAATTAGCAAAATATGTAATAAACCGAAATCAAGTGTCATTGTAAAGATAAAACTGTTGCGTCCGTCGGCATCCACATCAAGCATGCCACCTCGAGCCACGGGAGGCTCTCAATCGACTGTTCCTCCACGCAAGTGGAAGAAGCGGGCGGATCGTAATGAGGCGGCCTACAACCGCGCTGTTGAGCTCCTTGGTGAGGAGAAGGTTCAGGAAATTCGACGCGAGTGGGATTCTTGGGAAACGGAGTTTGGAGGGCGAGAATGGGAGCAGTCAGAGGGAGTAATTCTGCAACTCATCCAACAAGGATTGTCAGAGCGAGTTATTCGTGCCATTCTTCCTGTGGGTGGAAGTCGAGTCGCAAGATTAAGGAAAGTTCTAAAGGAGGGAATTGATACCTTGCACACCCGTCGCAGTCGCGCGGCGCCGGTGCATGCCTTTAGTGACTCAGACTTGGCTACATCCAAGAACCACTGCTTGACATGGATACTGGAAGACGGCTTTCCCTGTCCACACAGACGACCTCGCCAGTTCTTCAACGAACCAGGCCTTACTTGGAAAGTGGTCCATGCTCGATACGAAGACGATGTCAAGCGTGAAGACCCCAACGCTCGCACGATGAGCTATTCTCGTTTCATACAGTATGTTCACAAGTTGTACCCCGGCGTCCATCTATCGAGAACTACTGAGGATGATTGCGATTGCTGCACTCGGCTCGATATTCAGCTTGGCCAAGATGGTATCAGCGACGAAGAACGGGAATGTCTCCTTCTTCAGAAAAAATGCATCTTAGTGAAGCTATCGCACAAAGACGCTTTGTTTCGACTTTCATCAGAAACTACTCGGCTCTTCATGCCCCGGAACAGTATCTACCGCGCGATATCATTCCAGATACATCCGATGATAACGATGCTGGTGTCCGTTCAGAGGCTTTTACTGATGAATCACAACCAAACGAGCATGATGTGAGCTGCAATAGCGATGACAATGGTGGTAGTGATGCTCCTATCGCCGAGCGAGGTGGACCAACCTCGTACCAGAACTGTCGGGTGCAAATTCAAGCGGAAGACCACGGTGGTGGAATATCGATGCCTTACTTTGGTCATTCGCGTCCTTCAATCGACGATTACAACAGTAACCTCATACTGCAGAACTTCGTCGTGGCGGACATCAGCCACAATGTGAATCACGTTTTCCTCTACGACGAGCGCGCTCAGGGCAAGGACGCTAACGCACTTTGCAGCTTGCGACTGTTTTATCATCTCACCAAAGTCCACGAGGCAGCCAGTAAAGGGCTTCCTGCTGCGGAAATCAGCTTCAGCTTGTTGGACAATTGTGTTGGGCAAAATAAGTCCAAAGCTGTTCTGATGTTTTTCTCAATGCTCTCGATTGTGTTCCCCTACAGAAAAGTTGTTTTATGCTTTCTGCTTCCGGTGCACTCTCATAACGTTGCTGATCGTGTCGTTGCCTGGTGTCGTAAGACAACTCAAGATTTGAATTTGTACACGCCGTCCGACCTTTTGAAGGAAGTGAACAACGTGAAGGGGGTGAGCGGTGTGTTCTTTGATCACAATGACCCAAAGAGACCGTTTTTTGTGGGATGGAACGATTTACTCAGCAAATATTTTCTACCACCACCGTCCGGGTACACTGCTAACTATTTGTTTGAGATTGATCAAGGTATTTGTACTGCTCGCAAAACGGTTGACTCACCGGACTCTGAATCGATCTCGTTCGCAATGATGAGCACTGACAACGTCGACAGCATTCGGAAAGCGGTCTTGGCGGAACTGTTTGGGCCTGCAGTCACAAGCATCTTTCAGGCGTCGATTGCGTCAGTCCAGCTTCGGCGTCACCGATCAAAGAGCTGCCGGAGAAAAAAATGAAGTCGATGGCGGCCAAATACTTCACAATACCACCGCAATACCTCAGCTACTACCCGAGTGTACCTGAAACCATTCTCAATGCTCCTGTTCAAGATGGTACGGCTCCGGGTGGACCCGACACTGATGATCAAGGAGCTCACAAGCAAAAACAAAAGAAGCGTAAACCAGGTCGACCCCGAAAAAGCCCCACTCACCCCCGTAGCAACCAGCCTTCCATACTGCAGTTTTTCAGCGCAAAACCAGCTAGTAGTTAGGCCAAGGACATCCTAGTCCGTGGATTCATTACCCACATACATAATACATTAGTACTTAGGAGTGTGATATGGTTACCGGTTTGTGGTGAGAGCACCGGGGTCCCGCCATTCGTTTCACATGCTAAAGCTTAACACAATACTTGCAGTTTCAAGATAATTACAGTAATCTGCCCAAGTAAGGAACGCCTGATATATATAAAGACGCAGAATATATAAATTGATGTTAAGTTGAGTATACTTTTCCAATGTACTGATACAGTTATTTCAAAATGAACTGAAGAGCAGCTTTACCTACGAGTCCGGAATGATTCTAACAGTGGCGTATGGTCGAAGCACTAACCTTTACCAGGCATCCTCGCACCACAACAGCGCTGTCAAATGGGTGGAGTGGGGGAGGAGGTGGGCTTGTGGGGCGAGGTGCAAAAGCAAAAGTGCGAGTCTACCACTACGGTACATGTAGTTTGAAGTCTAGTAAGATCGCTAAATGCGCGCCATTTTTCAAACGAGGGTAGAGAGCTGATGATTGGCACTGGATTTTTCACCTCAGTACCTTGCAGTACCTTGCACATACCCCTATCGCCACATCGACTGGAAAATAATATTAAATATGTGAGGCTATTAGTTATACACCCGTTCCTTATTCGGGCATAATTCTGTAGAGGGTAGTCAACGCGGTAAAAGGATACAGAAAGTGCCCTTTAGATGATTTTCCAAAACACGGTAGAGTGTACCCCCTCTTAAAGGGCGCATCCTGTGCCCTTTTGCACAAGTTCAAGCTAGTAATCAACCTTCTTTTAAAACAAATCATAATCGGTACGCAGAGTAATCATCATGTAATCATTGTCTTTACAAATTCTAAGTCATACGCATGCATTCTATGGAGGAATTTCCATAAATCAGTGATTTTCACTGAGATTTGACAAAATGATTGTGAAAGTTTGCCTGAATTCACTGATGCAGCATCAGTAGTATCGTACTAGCGCGTCTATACAATTTCCAAGTCAAATGTAGACCTATAGTAATACTAGAAATAGTACATGTAGATAGCATGTTACCTACTACAACTAGTACTACATAATATAGTATCACTGTCGATGTTATTAATACATACTCCGGTTGCTACGCTACAGACCCTGTAGCGGTTAAGGTGTGGGATGCTCGCAACTACCAGCCACAAACTGGGTTCCGGTGTGGGGCTTGCTGCGTTTAGTGCCTTTTTGGTGGTTGTACTTTTTGCACTATACAACTTGTCTGGTGTTCTGCACAAACATTAAAGCAACTTTATTCGTTGGTCGTCTCGAGGATTCACTACGAACGAAATACAAGGGTCCAGCTTCTCCACAATTGTTTTGCATCTGCCCCCTCCGCCGAAACCCAGCTTTTTTTCGCGATAGAACAACGCATATAAGCTCAACGGACCCAGGAGATGGTGCATTCACTAAAATAAAATTGTCATGTGCACAACGTATTGGCTTTCATGCATCGATAGTAGCTTCAGATGAAATATGATATCTTTAATAGTCCAAGGTTTTGTGAAGCCAAGTACCCAGCCCTATAAAAGTGATAAAGTAGCAATGAGGACAGCCTTGCGGAATGCCAACCGCTTCAACCTCCGCTACAGGTCCTCCGTCCACGGGTCCACGGATCCTGCAATCTCAGGAGTGAACCGCGTTCGAGTTGAGCGAGATTGTGTTGTGTGAGTTAAGTTTGCGTCCGCAGAAGATGATAATGGTCGACGGGAGAAAGGCTCATAAACATCCTGGTAGGCTCTTAGCCAATAATGTAGCAGGAGATGCGTTGTAATGGAAACGCAAATTTACATACCACAGATACTGTAGGTGTCACGTGATTCTCGTGGAATCTCGCGAGCTGAATGAAATTTGTGCGCTGGCGGCTAGCTACTGTAAATATTGCAGTGGCGTCAAGGCGACGACGGTTTCGAGCGCTCAGTGAAGGGTCGATACCCTCGACGGGCAACCAGAAGAGGAGCCAGCCAGCGAAGTGAACCCATGAGGATCTAGGAATGCATGTAATAACAGGGTTAGTGTAGGGAACAGTGAACGAGCGCCCAGCTCATTCCGGAATCAACAGAGGATAATAAAGTCGACCTGCTCTGGCCAAGCAAGTGTGAACTCCTCATCTTGGTGGTCTCGGGGAGCAAATCCCGGACACCTTAGCGACACATCGGAGTGCTTTCAAGACGTGAGCTCGGGCACATCTGCAAACAAGAACAAGACTTCCTCTGCCTAAGTGCTACCACATCCACTCTTCCAGCTCACTACCAGTGAGTTGGAAAAGTAGAGCTTGGAAGATGCAAGGACGAAATACGGCACGCAGAGTGTTGCGGAGCGACACTGCGCCGGATCGCCAGCAGCTAGACGGGCATCTCCGCATCGCTGAGCACGTGAGTATCGACCGCCTGGAGGCACGGCTGGACGAGACCCACGACGATATTCGCGCCTTCGGCAACAACATTAATGCGACTATCAGCAATTTGAGCACCGGGATCAGCACGGACATGGCTGCGCACGGACATGGCTGCGCTGAACCAGACGGAGGCGGGCTTGGTGCAGACGATGAGCTAGCTCGCCGAAGGACTCAACCGAGTGCAGCAAGTGGCTGAGGATGCACGCCGAATGGCACAAACAGCAAATACGCCAGCGCCAGTACCGTCAGCACGGACACCGACGCCGAACCGAGCACCGGCAGCAGCACGCTCGTGGTCATCTGGATCGTCGGCTGCACGGCAGACCCCGGCTATGGGGCATGGTGATGCCAATGGCGGTGGAGCGAATAGCATGGCGACAGCAGCAGCTCGAAGTGATGCGAGCTCGGCTGGCGAGTTGCATTTAAGGAAAATGGATACCAAACCACCGGTTTTCGTTGGAGATATCGATGGAGTCAAGTTGAACAGCTTTATTTTCCAGTTTGAGTCCTATTTCACCCAAAAGGGGTTGGATTTGTTGGCGCATGATGCTCGACTTGCCCAGGAACTCAACCAGTGTGTGCAAAAAGCGCCCTCGTGTGGTACGAGCGGTACATGACCGACGTAGCCACGGCCAAGCTGTGGAGTGCGATTAAGCTTGAGCTGATGATGGAGTTTATGGAGCCAAATTTCGAGGATAAAATGAGGAACCGATTGCTAACAATTAGGCAGACTGGTGGATACTCTGGCTACGTAGGCAAGTTTCGGGAGCTGTATCGCATTCTTCGTGTCGACCAACTCACCGCAATGAATCTGTTCGTGAATGGACTGTCGGACATGCAGATGAAACGTGAAATTCAGCGGAGACAGCCACGCGACTTGAATGACGCGATCCAAATCGGATTTCTCGAGTGGGAGATCAGGGAAAAACCTCCAGGAAATAATCGACCGACCGAAACCAGGTCGAAGAGCAAGGGCGGAGGTTCTAGCGCTACGATGCATCAACAGCCGAGTAATCAGCCTCCAACAGCTCGCAAGTCAGGGAATGGAGGCCGCCAAGGCAACAACAACGCAAGATCGGCTAACAACTGCAGCTTTTGCGGCCGTGGACCGCACCGAGCCGAAGACTGCTGGTTTAAACATCCTGAAAAGCGCCCCAGCCAAGCGAACAAGAAAGTCAACACCATGTTTGCGCGGATGACGGTCGCCGAAGACCATGCGGATGAGGGAAACGAGTAAGTCCACTCAATGTTGAGCGATTGAGTGGACATACCCGCAAGCTCAGCAGACTAAAGGGTGAACGCGATATCTGTGGAGTCGGCGAAGACAGCGCAGCATCAACGCAACGCCTGATGCATGATGAAAAAACAATTTGTGACCAGAAAAATGATGGAGAGGCTCCGCAACCAGGAAAACCCAAGAAAAATGATTTGACTTTGTTTGCTAGCGTGACGAATGGAGTGCAGACGATGGAGTTCGAAGACAAGAAGAGTTCAACCACCACCTCTGAGGATTCTTTTGCCTTGCCTCGTGAATATTGTTGTCTTTTGCATACGAACAGTACTGTTCAATGCACCCGTGATGATTTATTCCTGACCAACTCGAATTTCATCGATAGCGGGGCTACGATCAATGCTGTCAGCCCTGAATTTTGTCAGCGTTCTCAATTGGAAGACCGGATCGAAGATCACGGAGTTGAGATACCGATAACACTGGCGAATAAGCAAGAAATGAAAGTTCGCAAGCGAACACTACGACTGCATTTGTTTATCGACTCTTTCGATCCTTACGTCGGTGAATTTCTCGTGCTTTCTGTACCGGAAAACCAAGATATCCTGCTTGGGATGCCATGGCTAAAGGCTGTGAACCCAGACATCGACTGGATCGAGGAAACAATCAAACCTCGGCAATTACCGTCGCCGGAGAAAATAAAAAAGAAGCAGACGAAGATGAAGAAAATGAAGCCTCGAACCACGACGAAGCCGTCTCAACCAGCACTGCAAGTTGGAGGCCAGCGCTTCTCGATTTCGGGAAATACGAAGAACTCGCGCGGTAAATACTTTCAGCAGGGGTTCTACTCGGTGACTGGTGAAACGAAATTTATAACGAGCAAGCAATTCAAGAGACTTCTGCGAAAACCTGAGAAGCTTGATTGTGTGTTTGTGTTGAGACCTGTGACCGAGAAAGAGCAAACAGAAGGCAAAACAGCACTCACAGAAGCGGACGACTTCGAGGGACTACCGGTTTATCCTGTGTTGGATCGACATCGACCCATATTAAAAAGAGAAGTTGCCGCAGCAATTACCGCCGGAGTCGCATGGAGTGCACAAGATGGAGGTGGATACTAGTCAGCCTATTTTTCGTCAACAGTGGCGGCAGTCTCCTAAGCAAGAACAAGAAATACGTGCATGGGTGGAGGAGATGTTGCGAGCTGGGTTGATTCGTTCTTCTTCCTCGCCCACGGTGCTTCTACTTTTTGTGTGAAAAAGCCCGTGGGTTGGCGCATAGTCCACGACTACAGGGCAATGAACAATCACACGGTTAGGAGGACATTGCCGATGCAACGCAAAGATGTTATTTTCGAGAAAATGCAAGGTGCATTCTGGTTCAGCTGTATGGATCTGCTCAGTGGTTACTACCAGTTTCGGATGCGGGACTCAGATGTCAAATACACTGCTTTCCAGACAGCGGACGGCTCCTTTGAATACCTGGTTGTACCTATGGGATTATCCAATGCACCTGCAACTTTCAATGAAGGAATTCGCAAGTTGCTGAAGGATCTTGCGGACTTCTGTCTCTCGTACTTCGATGATATTTACGTCTTTACGCGAAGTCGTAATCTGGATGGCCATCTTGCTGCTCTCGACCGAGTACTGACTCGTCTGGAGGAAAACCAATTTTACGTCCAATTGAGCAAGTGTGTGTTCTGCTCCGCTGAGATTCCGTGCTCGGGCTACTATATCGGCCGTGAAGGAGTAAGAATTGACCCGAAAAAGGTACAAGTCCTCCGTGAATGGCCTCGCCCCACAGCTGTAAGCGAGTTGCAGTCATTTCTCGGCATAGCAACCTACGTTCAGCGATTTTGTGACGGATTTGCTCACGATGCGGGCCCTCTTTTCGAGATGCTGAAGAATAAAGCCAGCTCTAAGAGCAAGGTGAAATTGCAGTGGACGACAGACCAAGTGCAGCATTTTGAGCAGCTGAAGCAGCGAATTTCGGCGACGCCCGTGCTGGCTGTGGCTGATTTCACTAAGCCTTTCTATCTGGGGATGGATGCGAGTGATTATGCGATTGGAGGTGTTCTGTTTCAATTGGAGGAGCATGATGGCGTGCTACTGGAGCGACCCGTAGCATTTAATGGTCGTAAGTACGAGGAGGCTGAAAAGAACTATTCCATCAGGGAGAAGGAGTTATTGGCTATCTTGTTCGGACTTCGAGTGTGGAGAATTTATTTGCTCGACAAACCCTTTATTGTGGAGACTGACCACAAGTCCCTCGAGAGTGTCTTTGCCCAGAAAAGTATTTCGCGGCGTATAGCGCGCTGGTACGACGAACTGAGTGAATACCCAGTTACGTTCAAGTATATACCTGGAGCAACTAATGCGTTAGCGGACGGCATTTCTCGCCGTGCTGATTTTGCAGAGGCTGTTCCTTTGGAGAAAATAGTAGCTGCCAGTGCAATTCACGGGAGTGTGTGTGTGGGTCTCTCGGTCGTAGTGCGCGAAGCGATTACTCGCTACAAGGAGGATCCGAGTGTGCAGGCGATTATTGAAGCGCTACAAAGGAAGCCTAATGAAGATGCACCGCGAATTCGACTACTCGCTCGACGGCGATAGACTGCTGTACACGGGGCCTAATGATGAAGCTCCACGACTGGTTTTGCCTGTTATTGCTGAGCTGATAAATGGAGTACTGTTCGAATTTCACGATGTTGAGTGTTATGGGCATCCTGGCGTTGATCGGACACTTCGTCTCGTTGAGCAGCATTATTATTGGCGGCACATGGTGCGCAGTGTACGCGCTTATGTCAAGTCGTGTGAAGTTTGTCAGCGAACGAAGGCAAGAAACACGAAGCCACCGGGACTTCTGCAAAGCCAACCGATTCCGCGCGGGCGATGGACTCACGTGACGATGGACTTCATTGTCGCGCTTCCGAAGACCCGCTCCAACTGTGACTCTGTACTCGTGTTGATAGACCAGCTAACGAAACGAGCTCATTTTGTAGCGTGCAAAGGCACTGCTACTGCTCGTGATGTTGCTGAGCTCTACCGAGACCGGCTATTTGCTCTTCACGGTATTCCAACCGAGATTCTTTCGGACCGCGATCCAAAATTCACGGCAACGGTGTGGACTATGTTGTGTGCCATGTTGGGCACGCGACAGAAGTTGACGACAGCTTTTCGCCATCAGGCAAATGGGGTGACTGAGCGTCTAAACCAGACTATTGAAAACTATCTGCGAGCATTTACTAATGGAGCGTCCGACGACTGGGATGCGTATCTAGCTCTCGCAGAATTCGCCTATAACTCAAGGTTCCAGCAAGCAATAGCGATGGCACCTTTCGAGGCCGATCTTGGCTATCTACCTTCGACTCCTGCTACGCTGTTCAGCCCACCTCGCGCGACCGGCGCCGAACGACAACGTTGTGCTTTGGGGAAGACGTTCCTCGAGACGGAAGCGGATCGGCTGGCAACTGTACGGCGTGAGCTCCAGCGGGCGGCAGATCGCATGAGCGATTAACCGACCCGTCCAAGCTTTTGAAGTCGGGAGGAGGTTTTATTGTCGACCGAAAACATGGCAAACTATCATGCTGGGACCACAAAAGAGAAACTAGGCGCGCGATGGATTGGCCCGTACGCAGTTGTCAACCGACTGGGGCACGATTACTATGAGCTGAAGCTGACGAAAGGAGTGAAGTTCCACCCCGTCTTCCACACGAGCTACCTGAAGCCGTATATACCCAGTGGTGGCAGGGAGCAGCGAACCTTCAAGGTACTGCTCCCAGATAACACTGAGGGTGAGTTAGTGGAGGACATTGTGGGCTTCAAGCGAACCCGTGGCAAGGCCATGTACAAGGTTAAGTGGCTTGGCCAAGCCCGCTGCACATGGGAACCTCTCGATAACTTGAAGTATATGGGCGACCTGATCAATCGCTTCCATGAGCGCAAGAAATCGAGGCGGGTCTCGTCTTAGCGGAGGGAATGTCACGTGATTCTCGTGGAATCTCGCGAGCTGAATGAAATTTGTGCGCTGGCGGCTAGCTACTGTAAATATTGCAGTGGCGTCAAGGCGACGACGGTTTCGAGCGCTCAGTGAAGGGTCGATACCCTCGACGGGCAACCAGAAGAGGAGCCAGCCAGCGAAGTGAACCCATGAGGATCTAGGAATGCATGTAATAACAGGGTTAGTGTAGGGAACAGTGAACGAGCGCCCAGCTCATTCCGGAATCAACAGAGGATAATAAAGTCGACCTGCTCTGGCCAAGCAAGTGTGAACTCCTCATCTTGGTGGTCTCGGGGAGCAAATCCCGGATACCTTAGCGACACATCGGAGTGCTTTCAAGACGTGAGCTCGGGCACATCTGCAAACAAGAACAAGACTTCCTCTGCCTAAGTGCTACCACATCCACTCTTCCAGCTCACTACCAGTGAGTTGGAAAAGTGCGACAGTAGGTAACAGGTAAGTCGTAGATTTCAGAGCTTCTTCATGCAACGCGCGCCACTTTGTATCTCGTTGAATTGCGATAGCGATAGTGACTGCGCCGGTGTGGTGAAGATACTCACACTAAGTTCTATAGCTAACCCAGCCTATGCATAGCTCTCGTCTTCATTTGATCGGCTTCAAATAGCTGCACTAGCAGCTTTACTCCTACCCCAGAATAAATGTAGTATGTAAATAGAGACATCTTACCAAAAAATAAACGCAGTTCGTGTAAAAGTCTCGTTGTTGATGATATTATATTGTGTTGCGATATAGTAACTACTACTAGTTCATTGGCAACTTATAAAGTGGCGGATTCCCACAACGTAGAAAGACAAGTACTTCCGCACCCACCTGCACACATTGTGTGCGTCACAAGATTTTCGGTTCATATTCTTAGTTTAATATGTCGGATTCCATCGGTACTCAGTTCTTTCAAGTCTCTTACCGCGGCAACTCTGCTCGGTTGTGAAGGGGGGAAACATGTCGACGCATAGTTAAGTGCCTTCGTCGTGGTGTCCGCTTCCTTCACATCGACTGGGGCCTTACCCAACGAAAGCCTCTCCGTACACTTCGGAATAATATAGTAATCGAAAGAAGCGAATAAATACTACTAGTAGTATTTATTCGCATTTCAGTCAGTAGTTTCAAGCTATCACAATCAGTTTGTCAAATCTCAGTGAAAATCACTGATTTATGGAAATTCCTCGCATTCTATGTATCCTGCAAATCACCGTAGATGGCATGTCCCATGAGACACACCGAAAAGGCTCCGTAACTTTGTAAAAGGACGCCTAGAGCGCCCTTTTAGAAGGAAATATCAATGAGTTGTATACTATAATTTATTGAGGATACTCGCGAAAGGGTTAAGGTGAGCTTTCAACATAAGCTAAAAAAATTGTGGAGTACTGTACGGTATATCGTACTGTAAGGTGGAGGTATTCTATTTGAGAAGGGTACGCTATTTGGTGCTATCCGTTATCATAATGGAATGCTCAAGAACTATCTAGTTCTGCGCCAAAAGTCCCGGAAGTTCGGCATTGCAAAAAAGCGCTACAGTAATGTGCGTCAATAAGGAACCGCTGATATAGGTAGAAGCAAGGAGGCTATTTGGACCAAACAGTGTAACAAAGCCGGTTGCATGTACTGGATTAGTGTATAAAACAAGTATTAGATGGTTTACTTCCCAGTCAACCCCAATCAATGGTTTATCTAAATCATTACTATTAGCAGGAAACAGGGCTTTTCCCACCCAGCTGTTTATTATATGTACAAGGAAATTAGTTCCTACACGTTCCTTATTGACGCACATTACTGTACCAGCCCAACTCTCTAGTACCTGACACACCTGATATATTGCTATATATGATACGAGTCAGTCCACCGACTTGGTAGTTTGGAAAGTGTATGGAGTAAATCTGATACCTACCAAATGTCAAATCCGATACAAGATTTCGACCAACCTGATAGCGTCTAACAAGCTACAAAAAAACTTTTAATCGAAGTTTGCGTGGCCTTTTCTTCTTTTTCGCGACGTATTTGCCCCCGCACCTGCGTCTGCAGCTTGCGGAGGTCCTGTAGGAGCTTTTCGTCAAGGTCGGGATGCTCAGACAGCATCGATGTAGCATTCCGAACTGCTGTCGCATGCTTGCTCGTGGCTAGCTCCGGCATCTCAACCTCCGTCCCTCCGCGCCGTCAATGCTGTCATCATCTGCGCTGTCGACGTCACCCCCCCCCCATATGGTCTCGATGAACGGAACGTCAGCTTCTCCACTAAGCATCTCTTCTCTGGTGAGAATCCCCATTTCGGTATCTTGTTCCGCCGGATTGCACTCGAAATCGTCGAATAGGATCTCGAACCCGAAACCTACTCATAGAGTTCATTATCTCCCCGTTCGGGACATCACTTGTCTCTTTCAGAGAGCGCAGGGTAGACGACATGCCAAGCACGAGTTAGTTAGAAGACACGGGCACTATTAATAAGGTGTATTAATAATTCGTGTGACTTTAAATTAGTTAATAGAGACCATTTTGAAAACACTGACATGTGAGTAAATATAAAAACGTCGATTTCCCGGATAGTAGATAGACTCCGGCGAAGGCTGATGCGGCTAAATGTAAGGAAGGCGATGTAGAGATAAGTAGGCTTGTGAACCGGTAGTGAAACCAAGTATGAGGAAAAACGCTTGCAGTGATGCGATAGGGCTACTCAATGAGTTGATTGCCATAAACTTGTAAGCTTATATTAACCCGACTAGTGGGAGTGTAGTATTTTAACCCGCCAGACTAGTGGGAGCTTTTATATGTGTAGTGTTTTGCTGAACAAAGAAAACAGCTCCGTGCGGAAGGAGAGAAGCGTATAGTTTCCGATCGGTGGTCGCTTAAGAAGTGCTTACTGACTTTTAAGTTGTAATACTGATTTTGTGAGTTCGTCTTGCTCTGTTGCTACGTGCACTGGCCCATGGCTCTGCGGTCTCCGTTGTACGTGCATTCTGTGACAGCAGACCTTGCACGCTGCATAGCATAAGCAAGGATCATGTTGTGGTCGCAAGAACAGAGTATCAGCACAAGCACTGACATGCATTGTTTGCCTAGAGCTCAGTAGATGCAATGCATTGGCCTGAGGCTCAAGCTATCCATACTTAGCCTCCGCTTCACCTAGTTTCTGAGCCACAACGCTCTGCGTTGAGCTCGACATATCAGAGAGAATTATTGCTACTGCGGAGACAGCTATAGCTGGCATCCTGGTAAAATCTTACCCAAAATTTACATACCTGATATTATTGCTACGACTGTCGTTCATGGGTCGTATCAGGTATGCAAGGTTTATACGTACTGCGTTCTAACAATACATGTATTATTACCCCCAGAAAGTACTTCAAAATTACATCAAAGGAAGTCTACACTATTTATTTTATGCGCCAACTCGCACGATGAGAAGAACCAAACTTCGCTCCTGAGTTGCGCGGCGCAACTTGCGTCCAAACTCTGTCAGTCATGGTATTCGACCATTCTTCGTCGTCCTCGACGTCTTCTCTATCTTGGAGTCCATGTGCTCCCGTAGCTTGCATATGTTTCTGTAATCCTTGACGAATCCTGGACGGGAAACATACGAATCCTGGTTGAAGCAGGATTAAAAATCGTGGCCTCCAACACCCGCCTTTAAGATTTGTAACATTCGGAAGGTGGATTACGGCCCGTGGGGGCAATTACGTTACCACACTGTGCACTGGTATCCGGGTGGTGCAGTGACTTATACGGTATCGTGATTTCCTCGGCCAGCTTTGTTAAACCTCCTAATTTCATTGTGTGTAGTTTATTTGGGTGCACCAGTGGCCTTGTTCGAGTTATTTCGCTAACCAGCCCTTACAAATAATCTACTTTTTTACAGCTGTAAGCGAAGTTCTGGCCACCAACAGCTCGGAATCTTAAACTGGATCTGTTGGAGGAAACACCACGGCTGCGATCATTGATCGCGATATGCAGTCCAGCTGCCGGGCGCTCCTGTTTCAAAGAACCTCGTAGGAATAATGTCATATTTGGTAAAGGAACATACACCATAGTATCGGCACAGCTTTATGGTCCGCCTCCAGTGCAGACCTCAGCTGGGGCCAATTCACAGTTTATTAGGTTCCGTAAGCGGTTGAAGTCAGGCGGCACTCTCAGCCTTGACTATATCTGGTACACGTACGCTGCGGTTAGCGCACGTTGTATCGCACGTCTGCAATGCTAGCCAATCCGAGGATATGGAGATGGCTCTATTTTAATAGAGCCATCTGTATTAAAATACACATCATTGTGCACTTACATTGTAACGTGCCGTCTAATCGATGTTGCCGTGTAGTGTCGTGACCACCAGCTTATTTTCCGTATACAGGCGTCCCCGGCCTATTCGCCACAGTGGTACTTATGATGTTTGCGAATCAACAAGATTCACGCGGTCTGAACATAGATGAGTGTGTACTGACTTACTACAAGCTTAGCTCAAGAATACGGTGGAGGTATCCCGCAACGTGCCACTTGTCGCAGTATGTCTCGCTGTACACTCATCTAAATCCATATGTTTGCAGAAGTAGCGCGCAAATCTTGAGAACTGCTTGTACTTCCTGTGCGAGGTACATTAAAATATACAGCCGGGACTAGCCCGGGGACGCCTGTAGTACTGTAGGCCACTTCCCAAGCTACACACACAGCTTCCTGCAGACTAACCTTGCGACGCAAAACCACAATCGAATTTGCCATGGCGCGCTCATCTCTTCGTACAACTCGAACCCTCGCGGTCTGCTTCGCGCTTGCCGCAGTCTTTGCTTTGTCGGTGGCGTCACAGACGACCGTTGCAGTGACTTCCGACGGCCAAACCAGCCCGCGCCCAGTCCTGCTCCTCGCGGGGGACTCGCTCACTGAACACGGTACAATCCCGGACCATCAAGGGTTTGTGACGCTGCTGCAGTCTCGGTACACCCAATCAGCCGACTTCATTGTTCGCGGATTGTCGGGCTACAACACGCGATGGTTCCTCAAGTACGTGATGCCTACCCTCGAACGCGAGATCAGCATTGGGACATACACCTCGCCATCGCTGATCACAGTCTGGCTCGGTACCAACGACGCAACGCTTATTGGCGGGAGCAACTCGGAGATGCACGTACCGATCGAAGACTACAAGAAAAACCTGAATCAAATCGTCCGCCGCTTCCAGAGCGCAGCCCCCAAAGCCAAGATTTTGTTGATCACGCCGCCACACGTCGACGACAAGGCCAGAGCCAAGGCTGCGGCCGAGAGGACCGACTCCAAGCGAGGCCTCGTGGATCGATCAGATGCCGCATCGGGGAACTATTCGGTGGCTTGTGTGGAAGTCGCCAAGGCTCTCAAGGTTCCAGTGCTGGACTTGTACTCGCACTTCAGCGCCATGCCTCTGGCTACCCGAAACGCGATGCTGGTGGATGGCCTTCACTTCAACGCAAAGGGCCACAGAGAGTTGGACGAACTGCTGCGGAGCAAATTGAGCGCCGAGTTTCCGGCTTTGTTCAGCTCGCTAGACGTGTATCAGTTCCCGTTTGTGAGCAAGTGGATGGAAGAAGACCCGTACACTGAAGGCAATTCTAGCTCAAGAAGCTAGAACCGTAGAGCGTCGCGATGTAGACATGAGCGCCGTGTGGCCCCCTCCTACTACATGTGAGCATGGGATTACGTTTACGGCGGTGTCCCAAGAATCGAAGTAAGCATCCACTGGCCCTGTGCCAGGTACATGTAATCCTGTCCGCGAATACACCATTTCAAGGTCAAATTGCGAAAGTCTACATACTTACTTGCATTGGCCGCTGAAGCCATGCTCTCCCCATTCCAACTCCTGCCTCGTGCCGCGCACCGCTCCATAATGAACACTTAGGACCTGGTTATGCTCACATGTCAATAGAGACACTGAAGGCGTTCTGATTGCTTCCGTGGATCAGCCTATGAGTCGCCCTGCGACCGAGAGCAGTGATGACAATTCGACTGCTGTACTTCTCTGGCCCACATAAGAAACAACACTTCGGTTTTCTGGACATAACTTTTTACAAAAAAATCGTTTGGTGACTCGCAATACCTCAACCGAAAGCTGCGCATTTGCTCCGTTTCACGCTATGATTTCAAAAAATCTAGCAGCAGAAAGAAAAGAGAAACAGCCTTTTATCTGAAGTCCGTTTTAGGCAACATTAGGTTTTTTAGTGAGGTGCCGTCAAAAATTAGCGATATTAGAAAATAAAATATCACCGTAATCGCGAGTAACTGCTTTACCCTTATGTTCGGTTGTCGATGTTGTAGCGCCTGTTGGAGACGAGTTAGAAGGGCTACAGTTTTGAGGTTTTTCTACGCGATTATCTCGACATGCGCAGACCCATTTATTTTGGCCAATAGTAAGATGAAACAGTTGATTATACCCAATCATATGTGACATGGGGTTCACATCAAATTGAGGTTTAATGCCGAATGTTGTTTCTTAAAGAAGGTTAAGTGGGCCAGAGAAGTAGACGGCACCCCCTCCCGATCGATCGATAGACACTGCAGCGCAAAAGCCCAGGTGCGTATGCTACGCTGGCGATGGAGGAATTCCACAAAGGACAGCAACCGGAGATCGTCAACCACGAGCTGAAAGCCGTCCTAGCGACTCAAACCGACCTCGGTAAAACCATTCTTGCGGTTATCCAACACACATCGGCTCTAAAGGTGCGTCGACACCGGGCTGTGAACCCGCCTCCACCTTGTTTTAGCTAACTGTGACTTGTGCTAAATCAGGACAGGTAATTTGTCTTTAGTCATCCTCGCCAGCTTACGGGATCGTTCGATAACGCTGCAATAATCGGACAATTGAAGAACGGAGCTTACAACTTGTACCAGAAGATGAACACGATGGTCCCTACGCGCCCGACAACGGTCTACCATAGCGAAATGCTGCCGAAAGTTGACCCGAGTCGCTGGAAGATGTTCGAGTACACCACGGTTTGTACTGTGCCCTGTTCGATGAAGACCGCGGGCGACGCTCTCTGGCTCGAACACTCCACCCCGCGCAAATACCAGAACAAGTCCTATCGCTTCGTAAGTTTAGCCCAAATCTGTACTATCTTGTCTGATATCGAATGACAGTTACGTCGTAGCCTCCAACGCAGTAAAGAAGAGGTTTGACCTGCTGCTGAATTTCCGACTATATTGCGTTCTGGCCCACTGCAGGTCTCCACACGCGTAGCCACCACTGGACAATTGTCACCAGCTCGGAAGCTGAAGATCAGTGCCTCATCGGGTTCTTCTTTCACATTTTCATGGAGAAGAGCGAGCCCGAGTTCTTGGCGTCCCCACAAGACATCGAGTACGTCCAGGAGGGCCATCGTGCTTTTTGACGCACCCAAGGGAACCATGACATATTTTTTTGCACTTCAGTAGTAGTGGTAGTAGAGGGAAAATAGTAGTTTGAATAGTTGTTATTGTTTTATTAGATGTACGAATAGTAGTAATAAGTAATACTTGAAAAATAGCTTTTTTAACAACCGGACTTTGCCTCAAGTACACCACTCAAGTGGGACATGATTTGACCTTACGTAAATAAAAGATCCGCTGAGCAATAGAATGCATTGCGGACTTTACCAACGTGTAGAGCATATAAATACACTACATATCATGCGCTAGCATTCCTGTACGACCAAGTATTAATAGTCGAGCACAAGAGCTCCTCGAGTACAACATCAGGGCCCATTTTCGGGCGAGTGTAATCATGCCGATTTTCGACAAATCACATTGTGTTTCTGAAAGAGGGTGGTCCTAATTTGTATCGACTTGGCAGAAACACTTTTTTGTATGTGAGCTATCGCATAGAGTGCAAAAACGCGAGTGTTAGCGCATACCTGATCTTTCCCAGCGTGTTTTATAACTAGCCTCAAAACCGCACATTAAAATAATCAATATTGACCGAGTTATGAGGACTTATCGAGGTGGTCCTATCATTTTGGCGCGCACTGTATCTGTAGCGGATCTTTTAGATTTGAGTGACCCCCACAAATTATCCTTTTCCGGTATACTTGACGCATAATCGGGTTGTAAAACTATTTTTCAAGACTTTTAGTCTTTTAAAAAAGACTACTATTGAAAAATATCGTTGACATAAACCAGGTACAGAATTATTAGGACGATTCGGAATTATTTTTATTTTTAATTCGGACCCGAAACAGAATTTCACCTAATATTTATTTATTTTAGGATTTGAAAAGACTTTCGAAGCGTCAAACAATGGAAGAGATGGAGGAGGTCTACTTCCGCCTGCACATGCAGCTGATACAGTGGGCCCAGCGGCTTCTAAGCGCTAAGGTGATCGGCCCCGCATTCCTATCTCCGTGTTCATACCGATTTCGCCTGGTAACCCTTTTGTGGCGTGTGGAAAAATTAATTGTTTATTCAGAATCGGGAGCGGATCGAGTTGGTGCTGTTTGTGGCGTCGTCTCACCTGCTCCTGGTGTGCTTCCTTCTCCATACAAGCTTCATCGGTGACGGGGGATATGTCGGCTGTCTGGATCAGCTTCTCCCTCCTGCAACAGCCTCCTACAACCTCCAGGACGAGCAGCTCCGGCTGCTCCGGATCCAAATTCTGCCGGACGCCGAAGCTGCGGATTGGAGCCTCGTTACGGGCTCGATAAACTCACATTCGTCGCGGAATACGTCGTTTAATGGACCTGAGGCCTTAGATCCGGGCTTGGGCTTCGTCTACGCGCCCCAGAAGAGTCTGTTCGCGCTGTTGGAACACGCCGATGCTCTCCAGACGGATGTGAGGATGGATACACTCTATCTGCCCATGAGCGCGCGGTGCTTCGAGCTCAGGTGGTTCGATGAGCTGCCGTTGTGGACGCTGATACGCGATCGAGTCGTTGGATACGATACAATACTGGTGAACCAGTTGATTCGACAATACGGGGCGAGAGGGTTCTTCTACAGAGAGGACAGTCGCGTCGTCGTCGACATGAGCTACGGAGTGTTCAACCCGGCGGCGGCAGCGCAGAGCGTGCGTGTTTGTGGTTATTTTTCTATGGTTTGTGAGGGAGCCGTGTCTGTGTTAACCGGTGTGCTTGGCCAGTGGCTGCGATTCGTGGCCATGAAGTTCAAGATCCTCCACACGATTCTGTTCCTGTTCTTCGTCTTTACGGCGCTCGTGGCCTTCGTGCTTATCGAGACGCAGAAGCGGATGATCACCTTCGCGGCGCTGTTCCAGAACCGACAACAACTGCAGATACCGTTCGCAAACCTCGTGGTGACATTTTTCGCCCAGTCGCTCATGTTCGTGCCCGTGATGGTAAGAATGTTGCTTCTATTGTTCGATGTGTCTGCTAGTAAAAAAAATATTTAATGGTGGCTGTTGTGCAGGTTGGCATGCTGTTTTTCCTGTTCGAGCTGTACAAAGATCGACTGCTTGCGTTCGGCGTCATGACGGTGATGTGGGCGGGCGAATCGTTCTCTGTCGTGAGCGTGCGAACTCGACTGTCGCAAGCGTACTTCCCACCGCTGTTCTTCTGCCTCTTCACGCTCTTCCACGTCTACCTCTTCTCGTTCCCGTTCGGCTTCTCGTACATCGCGCTGGGTGCCACGAGTCTTCTTCTGCTGCAACTCATGCTCTTCTTCTGGAACTGCTTCGAGATACCGGCCCTGAACCGAGGAGAGATCTCAAGAGTGTGTCCACGGGAACCATTATTTCTCTCATTTCCCCTTTAGAGTTATTCAGCCGTCCAGTCATGAGCTTGGACTGGCTTCCATATATCACTTAGAAACGTTAATGCTGGCGTGGATCTGTGTGCAGCTCGTGTCTGTGGTGATGAACCGCTGCATAATCTCTCTGACACATATCACGCACTTAGCTAACGGCAATGCGTGCTTGACTCATTAGAGGCGGCAGCGTTCAAATGTGCCCAGCGCAGGCCCCAACACTTAGCTACGAGAGTATCATTTCAGTCTTGGAACTGGCAGATCGCGAGCAAGTGTCGATCGACGTACATGAACCGCCCCTTACTCTCCCCCGGTAGCTACAGTGACGACGACACCATATCGGTCGTGGCCCACCAGGGCAGTACGCAGTCGTATTCGTCTCAAAGAGCAGGCACTTCAGGACCCGGCAACGTCTGCAACTCATGGAGGAGCTCCACGTCGAGCTCCACTCCAGTTGAGCAGGTCCCAACCAACAAGACCTAACAGCTTCCGCAGTTCATCCCAAGACTCGAGTTCATCCGTGAACTCCCCCGACCACCCAACGACCTCAGCGGCGAATAAACCTGTGAAGCCCCTGTCTCTAAGTGGAGACAACATCCTCCGCGTCGCCTCAATTGGCTCAAGTCAAGACTCGGACGAAGTGGCATGGTCGGATACGCTTGGTGCAGACGACGCCGCGGAGGACTTTTCCATCCGCGACCCCCCACTTCGACCTCACGACAGCAAAAATGACCAAGCTTTTCTCTCTGTGTAGCCCCAATGGTACGTGTAAAGCTCGTTGTCTCGGTTAGTGCTGCCACTAATGGAAACTGTGCACGCAGACAACGAAATGCTGTCGTACGATGGTTTTCGGTCCGGGCTCGAGGCCATAGGCATCGCTTGTGACAGTGACGAGCAGTTCCAGGCCTTCGTGGACGTCGTCGACGACAACAAAAGCGGCACAATCTCGTACGACGAGTTCCTCGGCGCCATCCAGGAGATCAAGCTCGCCCAACTGTTCAATGACGCGTTCGTACGCACCATGCCCCCATTATATGCAAGTATCAAGTCCCGTTCCGAGCCAGCGACTCTGGGGGCGATCGAGTACTATCCGAAGCGTGCACCCGATCAACCACGTCAAGAGCTTCGTCTACTCGACGACGCCCAAGTGGGCCACAGTCCGTTGGATCAACGTCGAGGGCCTCAACACGTTGCTCATTCGACGTCTTTCAGTGCGCTATCGTCTCCACCCGCTGGCTGTGGAAGACACGCTTCGGCTGGAGGCCAAGCGCCCCAAATACGTCAAGTACGACGAGCACTCGTCCCTCGTTCTCCAGACGCTCCATCCACGCAGCCTGGACATGGTGACGGCCTATCAAAACATGTACCGAGCCTCGCTGCTGGTTTTACCGGAAGACGACTCGCCTTTCGACCTCATGGACAAGGGCGAACTTGAATCGAGACTGAGGGAGCTTGAAGTCGGACACGTGATGACGTTGCCGAAGCAGTTGAGCCTGTTTGTGATGAAAGGGGTGCTCATCAGTGTCCAAGCAGGGACGAACACGCTCTGAAAGGCTCTGAAGCAGCGACTCAGCGTCTCGTACTCCAAGGTTCGGCAACACAGCACGGCGTTCCTTGTGTACACCATCATGGACGTGTGCGTGAACGAGCTGTCTCCAATCTCTCAGACGTTCGGCGCCAAACTGGTGATGCTGGAGCGCTTGATGCTGCTGGAGCCGCGTCACTTCGACTTGGGGCGGATCGCGAACTGCTCGAAGCAGGTCAAGGCGCTCCAAATGCACTGCAAGCCCTTGTTCGAGATCATCTCCAAGCTGGTGGCGTCCGATGACTACAAAGGGGAGAAGCTGCAGTACTTCACTGATGCCCAAGACCAGCTCACCACGATCGAAGAAGAGTGCGAACAGCACCTCGATCGCTACCGCAGCCTCGTCGAAGACTTCAACAACGCCCGCGCGTCGCAGCAGAACGACGCCAGCTACATCTTGGCGCTCATCGCCGCCATCTTCTTGCCCGCGCAGTTTCTCACTGGAGTCTACGGCATGAACTTCCCCTACATCCCGGAGACGACGTATCATTACGGCTATTTCATCTGGTGGGCCGTCATGCTCCTGGTTGCAGCGCTCATCGTGCTGTTCTTCAAGGTCAAAATGGGGCAATGACAACGTTTCGATTAGAGTTGGGACCCGCGTGGAGGTGGCGACGAGGATTCCGGCCTGGTGCTAAGTCGTCGCTGTGGCGTTCTGCTGCCGCTTCGTACTCTGGTTGTGGCAGACGGCGCCATCGACAAGGACATGGCCGAAATCATCCGCTTGACGCGCTTCTGTCGTCTCTTGTCCAGGACGACGGTCTTGGTCCAATTCCAGCGATGGACAAGTCTCGCGCGACGAGCTGCCAGCTTCAGCCCCACATTCTGCCATGACCAAGCGACAACAGAATTAACCCCCAACTCGCAACGTAGACACAAGCCCTCAAACTTACAAATATCCGCAGGAAGCTCCGCTGTTCTCGCCACTTGGCGGTCTTAAACTCTAGCGAGGCGCGAGACTTCCGGTTCTCGTACAGAACTCGGAGGGATGTTCGCGGGCTGTCGGAGACGCTAGTGTAGAGTCGAGTACCGTTCGGATGGGCTACCGACACTCGACTTCCCAATGTGAGCTGGAACGGTAACCCAGCGCGCCGTCTTTCCTCACACTTGCGCTCGAACTGAAGCATGGAGACACGCTCGCGCGCTTGGCTTCCTCTGCGGTGTAAACATTGAAACGTTAGATTCTTCAGCCAAATCAGAGAAACTGAGACAGTGGACGCACCGAACTAGAGCCTGGATCTGCACTGCTGCGTTGTACTGCAACCTCGGCACTAAACGCTGAATCCACGCGCGAAGGTGATACCCTCGAAAGACGCTCTACCATAACAAATTGTTAGTGAGCCCAGCTATTTATCACAATCTCGGGACGATCAAGCCGTACCTGAATCTTTACAATAGCAACAAGATAGCGTTCATCGCGGGCCCGTGCAACGAGGTGACCATACGCAATTTTGGCGAGAAATCTTCGGATGCAAGCCTACGGATGACAACGGCAAGGCGATCGCTATCAGAAACTCTACTAACTACGTGTAGTTTTGACGACAAATACAGTAGACAGTGTACCTGGATGCGGATGGCAGCAATCTGCCGCTCTTCATGGCGGTTCTTGACGTCACGCTTGCGCCGCGCTCGGTCTGTGACTCCTTGTCTCCAAACCGTTGATACCTCCTTGCTACCAGCTTCTCCTTCTTCCGGGAGATTACCACGCAGCCTCAAGTGCTCCTGCATCTCGGCGAGCTAACAGTAACGGAGTGTAAGCAAGTAATAAGGAAATACAAGAGAATTCGTGTGTGTGGAGCTTACGTCAAGTCGAATGCAGGAGACGCTCCGCAGTTCGAGTTTGTTCATTCGTCGCGCGTAGGCAACAGCGCGTGGCCGACTTCGAAAGCCTCGGTAGCAGGCCTGGATACGCGTCGCCGCCCAGTTCTCGAGCTGCGTCTTCTCCTCCCGTTCCCGAGCCAACTGCGCCATGAACGCATCTCTTTCAAGCAACAGCTCACGGTGCAGTCGAGCAGCAGGGACCGCTAGAGCTGGAAGACTTCGTCGGAACGTCGGAAGTTGCGCTTGGTGAGGCGAGGACCCTCTTCGGGCCTTGTTCAACCTTGCAGACATGGACTTTGGGGCTCCGTAGACCGTCTCACGAGGCTCTTGGTTGCTCCCAGGTCCTGGTAAATGGGGCGATGAGAGCTTACTCCTCTTCCGGCGAGTTAAACGGTGTGGGAGCGCTGTCACGACCGTCGAGATGACGTTGGAGGTAGTGAGCTGCGTCGTGGCCAGCAGCGTGTTTCTCACGTCTTCCAGCCCTTCAAACCCCTTAGCCTGCAAGGCCTTCTGCAGCGCCAGCTCCAGTTCATCCAAAGGCTCCTCCGTCGCTTGGGGTTCATCCGTAGACACTGCAACCTGAACTTCGCTCAACTTGTCAACGTCTGCCTCCAGCTCGAGCTTCTCCGTCAGCACTGCAGCTTCCTCAACGACGGAGAGCATTCTTTACTGACAGAGAGAGCAGCAGCAGCCGAGAGACACGAGATCGATAGAGAGACGTTACGTTGTGACTCCTAGAGCCGAAGCTGAAGGTCACGTTCAACTCGAACCGCCGCTCCGGTTTAAGCGCCGTCCGGCGAATCCATCGCCGATATGGTGGGGACCGCGGAGTCGAGCGAGGTGGCAGCTCCGGTGTCGCCGTCACTGGCGCAGCGGAAGCAGGCGTGGCTGCGCGCGAGAGAGGAACTGCGGCAGGCTCAGATCGTGACGGTCAAGCAGGGATTGAGTCTCACCCCGAGTCTCTACTTCGGCACGCGTCGGTGCACGTACAGCACCGTCGTCTCCGTGGTCACAACCGCGTTGCCGCTGCCTCGATACGACCCGCTAGACCCACCGCCATTCGTCCAGCAGAACAACGCTCTCAATGTCCCCAACGAGGCCTCTCGATGGGCCGAAGAGCGAGCAAGAGAAGCCTTGAACCGACTACAGCAGTCCAATGACAACAACCAGAGTGACGAACCCGAGGCGCGGTCGCCCTACGCTATGGCCAAGGCCTTCCCGAGCCAGCAACAGCAGACGCTCGCTCTTGTGCGCGAGCAACGCGCGTTCATGCAGTCACTGCACGAAACTCGACGCGCGCGTGCACAACGTGAGCATCAGGCAGCTTTGGTGATTCAACGAGTGCGTCGAAGCTTCGTGCTGCGTCGGCAGTTCCGCAGCATCCGACAGAAGCTCATCGTCCGCAAACGCATTCGTGGGAGTCTGCTGCAAGTCACCAAGGGAACGGCTCTGGTACTGGGCGAGAAGGATCGGCGGCTGCGGTTGATGGTCAAGCAGAACAACGCGGCCACGCAGATCCAGAACGCGTACAGGGCGTGGGGTGCGCGTCGGATGTTGGCGAAGCTTCAAGCTCTGGATCGTTATGAACGGCGGCAGCGTTGTGCGTCGATTATTCAAGGCGTCTGGCGCGCGTGTGTTGCGCGATATCTCGCCACGAAGCTGCGGATGCAGCGTGAACAGGCCCGACGGCAGGCGCTTGCGCGTACCCTCGCTAGACTCTTCCTGGGCTTTCAAGCTCGATGTCGCGTTCGGTCTCTTCGTCTTCAACGAGAGAATCGCGCGGCGTTCAAGCTTCAAACCGCAGTGCGATGCCGACTCCTTGCTGCGAAGGCATACAATCAGGCCAAATTCCGTGACACGCAGGAGCGCGGACACAATGGAGCTGCGCAGATGCAGAGTCTCGTGCGCGGCATGCTGCAGCGGGCGTATGTGATCAAGATGCGGCGCGCGGAAGAGCTGGCGGTTAGAATAGCGTGCGCGCTGTCAATTCAACGGGTGGTGCGGGGGTTCCTTGGGCGCCAGCGTGCTCAACGGCGAGGTATTGAGCGTGCGAATGAACGTGGGTGGGTCTGTGCGATGCACATTACGCGGATAGCGCGCGGCTTCCTTGGTCGGTTGGTAGCGTCTCGTGAGCGAATCCTCCAGGAAGCAGATCTGCTTATCCAAGCTCGACGAGGCAACGTTGAGGCTGTAGTAGACTTGCTCGACGGCTTCGACCCTACTACGATGGGGCTCGAAGACGGTGAGGCTGAAGATGTACCTGCACTTGAACCGGCCGATGTGACTGTGGTAAGCGTTCCAGGAGGCAACACAGTGCTGCACCTTGCATCCAAGTTCGGTCACCTGGAGGTTGTGACGCTGGTGCTTCCGAGGCTGCTGAGCGCTGCACCGCAGCTGGTGTACGCGCGGAATGCCAAGGGGTTTACAGCTCTGTCCCTTGCTGTGACGAACGGCCATGAACGTGTGGCTGTGTACCTGCTCGCAATGACGACGCCATTGTTCAAGGACCACGTGCTGCCTGGACGAAGACGCACTCTTCTGCATGAAGCAGCACGACGAGGTCTGGAGACGGTAGTGGCCAAGCTACTGCAGCTTTTCCCTCAAACTTTCACTGGAGCCGAGCGCGACGAATGGACTAAGCGTACAGCTATCCATGAAGCTCTTCTCGTCGGTATTGAAGTGGTGCAACCCGGAGAAATATTCCCTTGGACTCGCCACCATGTCCATGGCTATCGGAGTGCGTTTGCAGACGCCGATGACGAAGCCGAACACGCAATGGCTGGTCTGGAGACTCTGCTAGCCAAGGCCCCCCACGCTCCTCTTGAAGCGAAGGACTTTTTGGGCTTCACACCGCTTCATATCGCTGCAGCACGGGGAAATCTTCGCGCCGTCACGCGGCTGTTAGCGTTTGGTGCCGATGTGTCGGTGAAGGACGATCACGATCGTACTGCGTGGCGAGTTGCGCTGCTCCGTGGCCACGACGCTTGCTTCCAAGAAATCCGACGCAAGTGGCTGCAAGACGTAGTCAGCAGCCCAAAGGGAGCAGGAGCAGGAGCAGGAGCAGCCTCCGACTCAACCGCTATCGTTGGTCGCTCAACGGCGACATCCGCCGGTTCTGCGACGATGGCTCTGCATCCACAACTCGAACGGGACCTCTTCGCTGCCTGTAAACTCGGAGACGTGTCCAAGATGCGGTTCTACATCGAGGAGTGCGACGTCTCGGTCAACGCTGTCGAAGCGATTGGCACCCTCGACGAAGCTGAGACCCAGCGGCCACTAGGTCGATCACTCTTGATGGCAGCCTGCGAGCATCGACACGTGAGTGTGGTAAGGTACCTCTTGACCAGAGGCGATCTAGACGTCAATTTCACGGCAAGTGACGGACGCTCAGCTCTCACGATAGCTCAGACAAGCCTTGAAGAAGCCTCGTCCTAGCCTTCGCGTTGTCATTTACTGTTAATGAAAAAGTTTTGCTGCTCTTCTTCGCTTACATATTCCCAAGCGCCTGCATCGTTGACGTGCGATAGAGATCCCGCCACAGCTTGACCACCTCCCAGGTCTGGCTGGTGATCCCAAGACGCTTGGCTTGCTCGGCAGCTCGACGAAAGCCTGACTGTACGATGGGGTGGTCAAGCAACTTGCGGGCCAGACGGGCATCGCCCTGGGCTTCCACGGTCGCCAACTGCATCATCACTTGTGCTACTTCGTCCTTCTTCTTCTTCGTCTCCACCTCAGCCGCGTCCGTCTTGTGCGATGAAGCGAGCTCTGCAGTGGGGGCTAGTAGTTCCAGTCTCAAAGCCTTCAGCTGGGTATCACGTTCAGCTTGTTCGCGTTTCGCTCTTGCTTGACGCTGTGTGGAGCATATTCTAGTCGCATCCTCCGTACGCAGTGCGCGCCGAGCTGTGCGTCCTCCAGCACTCGCACTTGTCTTCGGTCGAGCGTAAGGGGCTAGCAGCTTGTCCATCACAATACCCACCGCAGCATTGACAACCGCACGGGCGTGACTTGCCACGCAGTCGCGCTGAGCTTGAAGCTCTGCCTCCGTTATGGGGCGTGGGGGCAGCACGTGAACGCCGTAGAGCTGTCGAGCTGGCGACGGATGCAGACACTTGGGGTCGCGCACACACCACGGGGACACCGCGCGTGCCTGGGCCAGAAAGCGCTTGCGCTTCTCCTCCACATCCATCGAGAGCTTCGCATCAGCGTAGATGACTTCAAGGCGGCGTCGAACGTCCCGCAGGCACACAGTGCGATCGCGTTGTCGATGACGAACGAAGCCTTGCAGACTCGCCCCCTCCTTCTCGAATGACACGCAAGCAAGTCGAGTATGCAGAACGCGCAGCCACGGACGCTTGGTGAGATACCCTTCAGCATTTTCCAGCGCAAGCAGCACGTCCGCCTTGGCGAACATGACTTCATCCAGCTGGTTCATGTTGACCTGGTCGTCCTCATCGTTGTTGTTATTGTCATTAGGTTCTGGTTGATGCCCGCTTAAACGACGCTCGCGCTCACGCTGCCACTTGTCGTATTCCTTGGAGAGGCCGTAGAAGACGGACTCGACGAGACTCACGTCCAAAGCCAACGAGTCTTCGAGGGCCCGCCAGTCCCCTTGGTAATGAATCACCATTTTGGTCCTTGAGTCTCTGTGAACCGCCGCTGGTGTCGGCTCACGGATCTTTTTACGATGGAGGTGCTGCTTCTGGACACGACCGAGAAGGAGGGCGAGGACAACACGCTCTACCACTACGTACACTCCAGCGACACGGCCGGTTGCTTCTCGACAACGTCTAGGACAAATACGACCCATTGGCTGGACCTCCGAGGGGTGTTGGCGGCTGCGGTTGGAGCCACGACGTCGCTTTGTGGTGAACCGTTGAAGTTCGCACGCTTTGGGAATGGAGACTCGAACGGAAGCACTGGGATTGTGGGCTTCGTCAACATCTACGAAGTCTTGTACGCACTCGTCTTCACCTCACCGGATATCCCCGAAGCGATCGTTCAGGTTTGGAGTCTATAGTCTTGGATGGCGCGTTTGGTAAAAGTCGGCTTAGCGGGAGAATTGCTGATGCTGTAGTACTACACACGTTCGAGCTGTGACCTTCTCCTGAGTCTTCTCGGATACCCAGACGCAAAGCTCGGGCAGTGGCGTCGGCGCGATGGATCCTCAGTGAGCATGGGCACTCTCAGTGCACAACTAGATACCATCTTCCGAGGCATCTGCAGCGTCATTCACAAGGGTATCGTCTCCATAAACTCGTTAGCTGTAAGGGGATGAAGTACTGAAACTTGCTTTGACTCGTGTAGACTTGAGCTTCGGTTCACATCTCCACTTCGCCTTTGACGGGCGTGTACCCGCAGTCAACTATCCGTTGGAAATCATGGTAAAAATGTATTGCTCTTTTGGTACGCTTGGTCCCTGAAGGTGACAGTGTTTTCTGAATTCCCTAGGCAAAGTTGGCCGTTCTGGACTCTCCCTTTGGTGACACCACGACCTCCACACAGAAGGTATCTCCTCTTGGAATGCTATTCGCCAATGCTCAGCGGCTTGAAGCAGTTACTTGAGTAACTTGGTTTTCCACATGAGCAGTACACAGCAATCGGTCGATGCGTCTTTTACCGGTGAGTTCGTCACGTTCTCAGTAGGCTTTTGCTCTATCCAACTGGGGGGGGGCATTTCATGTCTGCTTCCTCTAGCAAGCAGCTCGTGTTCTCGACAATGCGCAGCGACTTCCTCCGAATGTTCTTCCAATGGCTGTTAGCTGGAGATCAGTTTGCACCTGACTCGAGTGTGACGGAGCCCCCACGCGGTAGTGCGTGCTACATGTACCAACATCACCGACGTTCCCTTCCAACAGTTGTGTTGTGGTGTGTACAGAAGACGGTGACGGATCTCCGACGCGCATCGACACCTTTGAGCTGCACGATTTTCGATTCACTCGCCATGGTGGATACCCAAAGCGACACGCATTACTGATCATCACCAAGGGCTACGTACGTCTCGCTCTTGAGTATGGCTCGGGGCGGCTCTCTCACCAGTGTTTTGTTTGTCCGCAACACACCATTCCAGCTACAACTTGTGTTCTTGATCGAGCGCAAACTGGAGTTTGAAGGCACAGACGACGCCGTCGAGTGGGCCAAAACTCTAAGCGACGATGTAAACCAGCAGTCTGTAGAAGAGGTTTTCACCTTCTGCAAGCAGCACCTCGAAGCGTACCTGGAAACCACGCAAACACTGCGTCAGGAGCGCGTGGAGGCGCTTCAAACGCAGTGCGCAGAGCAGCTACATCGAGAGCCTTTGGATTCATTCCTGTGGTACTCAGTCGCTCTTGATCATTTCCGAGGCGTTATCATCGGCGACGTGCTTCCATTCACTCATCTCGACGCCCAAGACCAGCGGATCAAGTCTCAGCAACAGAATCACGACTCCATCTTGGCTCGATTTGTCCAGCATATCGTCGCCTTGCAGCAGAGTACGCGCTGCATGCACGGCCCCATAACTCCTGAAACATCCCCCGAGCTCCCATCAGGAATCCGACCACTAAAGCTCAACGTGGACGACCCAGACACCCTCTTCTTACGTGAAAAGCCGACCGACGAAGGCGACATCTCCACCGGGGACGCGCATGTTTTCCCCGAGCTTCAATACACGCAGGCGTCCTACGAAAACAAAGGGCGTCAGCTGCGTCAGACGGCTGAGCGGGTTTTCGTGCAAGGCCATCCATTCTGGATCATCGCTACTTACTTCGAGACGCTGGAGTTCTTCAGTATTCTGGACGCTGCCTTGCCGCTGGAGTTGCTGGAGCACGAGATGAATCGCCTGTGTGCGTTTGGTGGCGCTGATCCAGCAACAACCTCAGAACCAGATAAATAGCTGCAAGGCTTGTGACGCGGAGAGCGCCACGCTTAAGAAAGTAAATAAGGTTAAATTAGTTTAGCTAGACGCACTGACACCAGCACCGCCTCGGTCGGATGCATCTTCACAGAAATTGGGGATGGCAGCAGAGTGGTCACAGCCTTGGGTGCAACCAGCTCCGTTCTAGTCCGTAAAGTCGAATACGGCGCTGGCGCTGGAGGGAGGCGGTGCGCGAGCCGATTTCGCCTTGCGTCGGTGAGGACTCGCTGACACTGGCGACTCACTTGTAGCAGGTGAACGGGTCGGAGTCAGCAAAATCTCCGCGGACTCCTTAACTCGCAGCGGCGTCGATGAAGGCGTCTTTGTGGGTGTCAGATTCACCAGCGGTGACTGCCCGGATAGCACTGCGGAGAGCCCACTCCTTGTCGGCGTCCGAAGCAATGCTTTGCTATTCTTCCGGCGTAATGGAGTTGATGGTGGCGAGGGTGCAGGAGTAAAATCAAAGATGCCCCGGTTCGAGATGCAGCTCTTGCCGCTTTTCGCGCTTGATTCTGCATCTCGATCGTCCTTCTTCCTCCGCTTCGATTGTGATAGAGTGCGCCCACCAACCTCCAACGTAGTCTTGCCCAATTCATCGGGACTGCTGTTTTTCTCTCCAACATCCTGGGAAAGGTCCAAGCCCTCACTGCCATTGTCACGGCACGTAACATCCATGGTGAGCGTCATGAATGGGGACGAACCGCATTCGGGCGCAGATGCCTCCTCCAAGCTGAATTTGTTGGCAAGACAGGAGCGACTTGGCTTAGAAAATTCGGCATCAAACTCTTCCACCAGTTGTCGAGTCTGCCTCAAGAGCCGCGCCACAACCGGTGATGACATTGTGCCGTCCGGAAGCACTGCGGTTAGTGGGGATCTGCCGCTTGGAGTTCTCTTGGGAGTTACCTGAGCCGCACGTGTCGTCGCAGTAGATTTGGTGCCAGGTAGCTTCATTCCTGGGCTACGCGGAGGAGTGCGAGTTGGGGTTCCGCTTCCCTGATCCTGAGGAGCTGGTCGTCTCTTGACTTTTGAGATCGCATCGGAGGGTGATTCGCTATCGGAGTCGTCAATGTTGAAGCATAGGTTTTTCAATGGCCGGGCACCCGCTGGTTTTCGTGCATACACCCCCTTAGCTTTGTCTTGGAACTTTTGAGAGGTGATATCAACCTCAGCACAATTTGACGTAAATGCTTCCACGATTTCATGTTGCGTGTTGCGATCACCATACAGAATCGCACGCGTCCTCACATCAGCCGCGCTATCGTGGTATGACATGAAAATCTTTTCGACCTGAAGCACAGACTGGGCTACCTCCGGGGTCAGCGCACCAATCTGAGAGTGAAGCGCCACAAAGACACTGAGAGCACGTAGCAGCAGTCGAGGCGAACTATCGGGTAGCGCATTCAGGATAGCTGTGCTGTTAGCAGAAGAACCTTTCATCAGATATCCGAGCAGCAGCGATGTGCATCCTCCGAGAATTATGTCCTCAGGACTCCAGTCATCATTTTCCTCGTCCATCGAAACAGTGCCACCCGCGCCTTGAGCTTGATCATCAGTCGAATCAATCAGGTGCACGTATGACTCCACTTTCATCTGGAAAAACTTTGTGAACAGATCACACGCACTGATATAGGCTTGAGAGGACCCACCCTGCCCCCAGTTAAGGTGCACCGACGCCCCGGCCAGCGCGTCGCGGTTGTCATCGCTGAATTCAATGCAGTTGACAATCACGCTCAGCAGCAGCAAATACGAGTCATACTCCCGCTTGTCCACTCCCGCCCATTTCGGAGGGCGCGTCGTATCCGTTGAATGCACGTTCACTAGACTCCATAGTCTTGTAAACGAGTGTGCGAGAAGTTGCATGCCGCCTAAGGCGCACACGTGGCTAGCTGCTTCGGCATTGTGGTGTGTCAGGTTGATTAGCACGCGCAGTCCCGACAGCAGAACCTCTACGGCCAACGACATGCGCGTGGGTTCAACTTCCCACCGCCTCTGCGAGTGACTTCCCCAGGTCAGCTCACTCAGGACGCGAGTCAGCTTCAGCAGCAAACCAATAGGCTCTCTCCGCTGTGACATATACTGCTGAACGTCCAGGCTCAGGAACGTGACGTGGTCGAGGACTTGCAACAGCAAGCTCAAGCGATGAAGCAGGTGAGCAAAATCGAGCGAGAGCCGATCAACGTGAGAAGCAGGTGCCAACACCTCGAAAACGCCGATATGTCGGGCTAGGCCTTGAGCTAGTGCATCAACTCCACCATTCCGAACCAATAGCTGCTTTCGCTCTCGAATGAGTCGAAACGTGTCCACCGCGAGGTCACCTGAGCACCCGACTTGTCGGTGCTGAGCCACCATTGAATCTGAAACAGGGTTCGCCGCCGAGTCATCGTCCACTTGCAGTAACTTGCTCAACGCAGCACATAGAATATCGGCTGTCGAAAGCTGCAGCTCCTCTTCAACGTAAAACTGTTCGCGGCTCTGCAAAAATGTTCTCAACTTGCTTCGAAAAGCGTCATCTGGCGCGTTGACCCGCCTCGCCGACATAGCGCTGTGCACGCTCATCACGGCCGTCCCCTCATCCAGTTCAAACCCATCAGCTCCGGTCGTACCCAAACTCCTCCTTTGCTTCCGTTTCAAGCACGTTTTCCTTGACGGTGCAGGCTGTAGCACAGCAGACGTCTCCAGCTCCACCTTCTCTTCGTTACCGTCCCCCTCACGTTCCATTTCTCGCTTGAGCGCGAGCACCACTGCGTCCAGCACCTTCTCATCAATGAACTCCTCAGCCACCGAGCTCCCAGCCAGGAAATACACCAGCACAGCCAGCGCCACTCGCTGCGTCTCCTCTCCTTCTACTGCAGCTCCTAGGTTCGACAGCAGCAACTGCTTCATCTTGCTCTGGATCGTCCGTCTCTGGCTGGACAACTCGACGGCCTGCAGGATCTTCACGTCCCGCAGCAGCTGCACCAGCTCCAGGACGCTGTGGGCCTGCGCCAGGCGCCCGCGCTGCGTCTTGGCAGGCGCCAGCAGCCCGTCCAGCAGGTACAAGATGTCGTCCAGCCTCGCCGCCAGCAGCCCGTCCTCCTGCAGCAGCAGCGTGCTCTGCAATACAACGGTCGAGTCTTGATTTGTACCGGAAATGTGGTCCACGTGCGCGTGCTGGCGCCCGTAGAGCGCGAACTTGCGGCGTGCGGCATCTCGGTCCACGGCTTCGAGGCGCGCCAACAGGCTGGCAGGACCCTGTAAGGGGGTGCAATTGGTGTCAATGGGAGCGTCTGAGTCTGTAGAACATGAACGTGGTGGTGGAGGTCGTGGACGCCCCCGTGGAGGCGCGAGAGTGCGCGGAGAAGAGGGCGCCATGGCGCGTGCTCTGTGGGGCCTGTCCGAAAATGCGGAATGCAATTGAAAGGTCACAAAAGTTGTGTGTTTGTGTGCAGTTTTGTGTAATGGCTACTTCAACTTCGAGCTTCCAGCCCTGGAAGGCAGCAAGTGTGAGCATGAAGGCTGCCAAAACTTTGGTCTATCTACTCGACTGCTTGTAGCAATTTGCTATACCAGTCTCTAGTGAGTTATTCTTTGCTTCGATGTAGGTAAACCCTTTTAGTAAATTTCCAGCTTCGCCTCCGGGTCGACGGCGTAGACGGACTTGTACTTGTCGAACAGCTTCTGAAGAGCTTGCACGTACTGCGCATGGTACTTCTGAACGTCCTCTTTCGTTGGTTGCTCGATGCGCGGCAGCACCAAATCCTCCCCCACGACGGTGATGAGGTCCACGTCGGTGCAAGGCAGGAAGAAGCACTGCGGGAGGCCGAAGAAGAGCACCCCGGGGATCTTGAATTCGTTCAGCTTGAGACGGAGCTGCAGCAGGTACGGGAAGGTGTGGTACGCGTACTCCTCGCCGAACGTGTAGGCCGGGTGCACCTTGTACCCGTGCTGCAGAGCCAGCTTGATGAATCCGAAGCGCTTCTTGATGTACACTCGGTGCTTGCCTCGCTTGTAGAGTGTCGCTTCTTCGAAGCCGCCGGGGATCAGGCAGACGTTTTGACCGGTGGCCATGAAGCGGTGGAAGGTGGCTCTGGAGACGCAGCTGAAGTCCATCCAGTTGAGCAGGTCGCGCATGACTGGGAACCAGAAGAGGTTTTCGGCCACGAGCCAGCGACAATGCGCGTGCAGGAAGCTCATGTGGTGAGCGCCGTTGAACGCGAATCCACTAGAGAGGACGCCGTGCGGGTGGAAGGCGAACAGCGCGCGGTCGTCGGGCTTCACGGAGGGTGATAGGTCGTTCTCTTCGATCGTCTTGCTAGCGATTGCCTTGTTGCACTTGCCGTCATCGCCACTGTTAGACTCATCTTTAGGCTGTTTTGCCTTCTCGCGCTCGTCGAAGACCGTGACATTGAGTCGGAAGTACGGGTAATGCAGGAACACGTAGCGGAAGAAGTGCCTCATGAACGGCCATTGGTGAAGTGACGGCTTCGTCGCGTAGTGGTAGCTCTCATGCAACATAATGAATCCCAAGTAGGCTTGCGCCGCGAGGGGCATCGGAGCTGGCTCCGCGCTTGTCACTCTCCTCCAGATCCACAGCACTAGACACAAGAGCGAAAAGACCCACATCGCAGCAAAGAACAGCAGGCCAATTACCCAGAGACCGTAGAGAAGCGTTAGGTGCAAGCGCCGCAGGAACCGCCCGCGCAGCGTTCGCAGCTCCGGTCGGTCATCGAAGTTGGGCCAGGTCGCAGTGCGACCGCAAGCAGCGTTCTTGAGTCCCGGCATCCCGTCGTCTTCACAATAGCTCCTGGACTCGACCCTTCGGGATGAATGCGATCCTTTTCGGTGGAACTACACCTTTGTGCCGCCTACGTGCAATCAATTCCGAAAGTCGCAAAATTCATATTGCAAATTTCTAGTTAGCAACTTCAATTACGCATTCAAAGATGGAATTACGGCAATCAAATTCGTACAGTAAAGTAGGCTACTACTACTGGTCCGACGAGCCCTGCTACATGCCGTACACTATGTCCTCGTTGTTCGCCTTGGTGACGAAGTCGCGACAGTGCAGCTCCATGCTGGCCACCAGCGCTGGGGTCATCACGTTCATGTTAGCGGTCGCGGCGCGCTCCAGGATGTGCATCTGGCGTTCCGAAATGGAGAGGATCTCACCGTTTCTGTCTCACGCGAGCGATCGTAGATTGCGTGGCGATCCAGAGCCAAGTCTCGCTTAATGCGGGATTTTAGGACGCTGCTTCTCGAGGACGGTGTGGCGAGTAACGCGGCCTTGGAGGGACATCTGCGAAGAAGAAGGCGAATTGCGAAGTGAGCTCCCCTCGGTCGGCGTCGGCTATAGTGCGCGCCAAACCGCGCGCCCTTGCTTTTGGCGCGAGCGCAGCTCCGTCTTCCGTTTTGGCGTGAGCACAGCACGCCAGCTTACGTAGCCATGGAGATCTTGGACCTCTGGTCCAACTTTGATTGCCGTAATTCTATCTTTGAATGCGTAATTGAAGTTGCTAACTAGAAATTTGCAATATGAATTTTGCGACTTTCGGATGAGATGGTCTCAACATGCTCTTGGCACTTGATCAAGGCGAGATCGAGCCCATCACTTGGAAGTGTAAGGCAGCGCTACGCGCAGCGATCGCAATGATAATAGGAACCGCCATTTGCGCATTGAGAGCGATGAAGCGCTCGCCACGAGCAATGAGTGTGGGTGCAGCATCGGGCGCTTGTCTTTTGCATCTTCAAAGGTCGCAATGCTGCTGCAGACGCCGGGAGTCCGAGGCTCGGATACGAGAACATGAACACCTCGGTTGCATGTCAATAAATACCATAATTTATTCTCTGCACTACACTTGCTAGCACATGCCGACGGCCGCTCAGCGAGCGGCGCGCGACGTAATAGATAAAATACTATTTCTTCAGGCGGGCGGGGCCACGCGCAGCACGGGGTGGTGCGCCAGCTCTTCGGCGCTGAGGCGGCGGGACGGCTGCACCTGCAGCATGCAGGCCAGCAGGTTGATCGTGGACTTGGAGAACTGCTGCTTGAGTCCCCAGAGCTCCAGGATCTTGCCCACGCCGTACTTGTTCAGCACGCGGAGGGTCGGGGCGCGGCTGTCTTCGTCGGCGAACAGGGGCGAGCCCGTGAGCATGATGAAGAGCAGCACTCCAAGCGACCAAACGTCGGCGCCCTTGGGGTCGTACACGGCGCCCTGGGTCACCTCGGGCGCCATGTAGTAGAACTTGCCCACCAGATGACTCGAGAACTGGTTGGCAGCTGCGCTCAAGCCAAAGTCGCAGATCTTCACCTGTCCGTCCTTCAACAGCACGTTCTCCAGCGACAAGTCACGGTGAGCCACACCGACGGTGTGTAGGAAGCTCAGTCCCTTGGCGATCTGGGCGAAAAGCGGCAGAGCCTCAGACTCGGGAAGTTTTCTGCCGGGCTTAGCGGTGACGTACTCGTAGAGGTCTCCGCCTGCGCAGAAGTCCATGGCGACGAAGACGCTGTCTCCGCACGTGAAGAACCCTTCTCTCTCGTACTCGACAACGTGTTCGCGACCGGGGGCGCGCGCGATAAGGGGGTCTTCCAGCAGCTGGATGACGGCGCGCTCGCTGAGCGGGTTCTCCTTGACGGCGTCGGGGCTGCTGCTGCTGTCTCCTTCCTGCAGGAGCGGGATGCTCAGGCGCTTGAGCACCACGAGCTTCTTGAGCTCCTCGTCCTGGTACAGCGCGGTCTCCCCGTACAGGGTGCTGCGCAGCTTCTTGCAGCGCGTGTAGCGGGCCAGCACGTCGGCGGGGACGGCGGCGGCGGTGGCAGCGGCGGAGGGCGCGAAGCTCTCGACGACGAGCGGGGCGTGAATCATGCTGCTTGAGGGGGGGGTCAATTGGGGGAGGCGGCTGGCGCTTGTGGGTTGGCTGCGGGGCAGTCTCCTCCGGCTACAGAGCGACACGAACTGAGGCGCACGCTCTCTCCTCTGGTCAATCAGGGCACAACGCGGACTCGGCGGTTGGGCTCAATTTTGGAAGTGCCCGAGCAGGCCGTTGAGCCCGCTCCGCTCACAACAGAGCGAAACCGGCAGAGGCTCTCAGTGTTGGTACCGACGGTACGAACCCTGCGGAAGCCGATTTCAATAGTTGCGTAATTAATGTTAGGGTATATATTAATGAAGGTTGTGTGTGCAGATGATGTGGACTAACGAAGGGAAAATATTGAGATGGATAAATACGAGATTCGTTTGTGCAGGTCGCACGGGGGCCCATCGCTCCGTCACATAAAATGCATACCCGCTCGCTTGGACTCTGCGCGCTTCAACATGTCTCGGTCGAAATTCCGCAACATTTTCACTTGCGCCCAGTATGCCCCACTGTGCAAAGAAAGGGCGCTGTAAAATGCCATTCAAATTTCGCTGCACCAGACACGGGCCCGCGTTGAAGCTCTTGTCTTTGTGAGCTGTTCAGGCTTCAACGTTGAAAGCTCACTGGCGCCGGTAACTCGACTATAATATCCACTGTCGAAACGCTGGCCAAGCGCTCGTGGTGCGACAGCAGGCCGTTGCAGGGCGTTGGCAGCCCTGGCGCCAGCCCTACAAACGCTGCAGCGGGCCAATAGAGGCGCCCGTATGGGAGGGTTGCCAGCCCGGTTGCACACGCACTATAGGCGGCGATAGCGCTGCCAAAGTTCAAGCCCAAATCGTGGCGCCGACATCTTAGACATTGCGTTGCGGTAAACCGCGTGTATAAACGTCGGCGTGCGTCAGGCGCGCCTGGCCAATCGGAGACCGCCGACAAACGGTGTCCGAGGCTCGGACTATGCAGCTAGGCGCGCGATGCCGCCGAGCCTCGCGTCCACGACAGCATGACGCTCCAGCACCAGTCATGTCGGCATCGAGTCCATGCAGCGCCCCGGAGACCATTGCCAGCGCCACAGCCAGCGCCATGCCCAAACTTGTCGCCCGTTGCGCCCGTCGAGCGCTCGGCTTCTAGAACTTATAGATCGGTTCCGCACGGGCCATACAAAAGCGCAGTGTAGCCACCTGCGAGAGCGGATACCCCGCCCTTTCGCTTGCTCCGGGCCAGAGTCAGCGCGATCTTGAAGCGCCGCACAGCAACGCTGGACCAGGCTCGGCGGCGGTGGCGCTCTCAGCGACAGGCATGGCCGGCAGCGCGCGAGCCTGCCCCAGCAGCATGGCTATTCTAGCGGCGCGGCAAGCCATCCCTCGACAGCGCTGGACATTACAGGGCTGTTCTGTAAAATTACAGAACTGTAAACAGCCCAAGCAGCGCGCCAACTCGTCTTTGCCGCCGCCTTGCGTCGACGGCGATTCTCGAGCTAAATGTTCTCGCGCGCTATGGACATGGCGCCTTACAGTACGTTGGCGTTGAAGCTGGCCATTCCTGGAGTAGCGCACACCATGCACGCCAGCCGGAGCAGACAGCTCGTTGAGAGCACCGGAACACACTCCCGACCAGGCTGACTTGTCGGACAAGTTGCGCACGGCAGATCGTTAGAGGGGGTCGAACCGCAGCGAGAGCAGCATCATTACATAGCATGCGAACTTCCACGAACTGCTCCATTACTACCTGGATTTTTGAGCCGATTGAGCTTGCTTGACATCGCCAGCTTCCATTGGAAGACGCTCGAATGGACTGGAAGGTAGTACTAACTTAGTAGCTTGGTAGAAGACAATCTTGGCATGCCATAGTTGTTAAAGCTTGAGAATAGTCAAAGCCAGGAAGAGAAGTGTATTTATTATTTGCTGCACACTGCAGAACTACGTTTGAAAATAAGGCAACGATGACCGATCTCGTGCCTTGACTTACTCATCCATTTGCTCGCGGCGGCGACGGCTGTAAACACAGACAGATACCAAAGAATGTAAGTCCACTGCCACTGGCCGTAAGCACATCCAATACACGTACCTCGCCGTTGGGGGCCTCTTGCTTGCACTCTTCCTGCTCTTCTCATCTGCCCCGCTTGAACTGCTCGACGACTTTTTCACCCCCTCCTTGCTCTCTTTGCCCCCTCCGTTCGACGACGACTGAGATCTGTCCTTGCTGCCCGAAGACGCCAATGAACTCGGCGTCACCTCCACTTCATTGGCAAATGTGATCTCCACGTCCTCCTCCGTTGCGACGCCGACACGTTCGAGCCAGTAGTTCATGCTCAGAGCATTCCCCATACCATTCGTAGCTTCGAAGTCCCGAGTGCGTCGTTCGGGCATCTCCAAGTCAAGCTGCACAACGTTGTCACTGCGCCAACGCACATTCAGCGGGTCGATTAGTCGGTTGCGTCGTGCGTATTCGCTTTCGATGCGGCGTGCTCCTCGACGCGATATCGGGCGCCTGGGACGCAGGGACGAAGGCTTCGTCTCGAGGCGGCTAACTTGCCAGGCGTCATGGTCGGCATCGTATCGAGCTCGTTTCTCTAGGCTTTGGGCTTCATCCAGAGGCACAAAGTGGCTGAGTAGCAAATGCTTGAGCTTCAGCTGCCGAGTGAGTTCGCGCACCGTATCCAACATGTCTTCTTTCTCCGCTTGGAACTCCGCCTTCAGATCCTCAATTTCTGTCGTAGCAGCCTTATGCTTAGCCCAGAGCTTTTTCAGCTTGCGGGTCTTGTCATCCACGGCTTCTTGGAGGGTTGCATACTGCTCCTCGAGGAGCATGTTCGAGTCCTCCTTTTCAGCTAGCTCTTGCGCAAGCTGCAGCTCTTGACGTTTCTGAGCTTCGATGCGTGCTTGAGCCTCGCGAAGCTGACGCTCCTGCTTGGCAGCTTTATCTAGCACCCGTCCGCCCGAGATGAGCTTGTGTTCAAGCGCTTGCAGTTGGTTCACCATCTCGTCCTTCTGCTTTGCCATTGCTTCTTTTTGCTGCGCTTGAGACTGCAACTCCCGCTCGAGCTGCTCTCTCTCCTCCTCCGTTCGGGACTGGGCAGCAAGCAATGCTTTCATTTCTTCCTGGGCCTTCTGCTTTAGCTCGCGCTTCTCGCGTCGAGCATCCTCCTCCAGCTTGCGTAGCACTTCTTCGCTCACGCCTTCGCGCTTCACCACCGTTTTCTCGACGATGCGCTCGACGATCTGTGGACCTGGCGCAGGGCCACTTCCACTACCGTCTTTCGAGAAGACCTTACCCTCAGCACCGGACATTACGGGACCATTTTTCTCCTGAGCAGCAAGGGCCTCGCGCAGCTCCTTGATCTTCTCCTGGTACTCCCGGATCTTGGCATCCTTGGGGTCCTCATTGATTTTGGGCTTGTTCTTGATGTTCTTGGCGCGGTTGGCGTAGCGCAGCGTGGACAATGTTTCGTTGTAGTTGTAATCGGCAGGACCACAATTGGCAATCATCACAGTCTTCGCGTTACCGCCAAGTGAGTCCTGCAGCAAGCGGGTGAGCTTCGAATCACGGTACGGAATATGCTGCGACTTGCCATCCACCAGCGCGGAGATGACGTTGCCCAAGGCTGAAAGACTCAAGTTGATCTTCGTGGCCTCCTTCATTCGATCTCCAGTAGCTCCCGTCTTGGACTGCCGCTCACTACCAGCCAGATCGACAAGATTGAGCTTACCCACGCAAATGTGGGGTTTGCCGTTGGCTTGGGTTTGTGCTGTGGACAAGGCTTCGACCGTTATGGTGAACATGGAGTGCGACCGAGAGGACGTTTGGTTCATGAGTGTGGCGCCAACGCTTCGATTCTTCTTGCCCTGTTGCATGACGGCGTCAATCTCGGCAGCAGCCGCGACTTGGCGAGATGTCAGGTCTTTCACGAAGACGCCCGCGTCCACCGTCTCCTTGAGCTCGAGGCGGTTCTTTGGATCGGGCGCAAGCAGGTCACGGATCTCTTCGTTGTAGATCTCGAGGTACGACGCGTACACCATGAACTGCTTGTTGTCGGCCTCGGCAGCAATGCGGTCGAAGATGTGCGAAAAGGAGTTGGGAATGATGCCCTTGGCTTCGGGCGGCTCGGAGTAGCCCTCCATGGTGTGCGACTTGCCGGCTCCCGTCTGGCCGTAGGCGAAAATGGTGCCATTGAAGCCGTTCACAACCGACTCTACGATGTCCGTGGCAGCCTGCGCGTAGACGTCCTGCTGCGAGCTTTCGGGCGGAATAGCGGCGTCGAACGTGAACTTCTTGGGTGGCTCTCGGTCATCCGCTTCCGGATTGGACAGCGAGATCTCGCCCTGGGCTGGGTTGGCGTGCACGATGTACGTGCGCCCGTCTTGTACCTCCTTGGTGCTGAGAGGGCGAATGCGTACACAGACGCGAACGCTTTCGCTCTTGCTGGCCATAGTGGAAACGTGCAGGGCGGAGAGCACCTCGGATCGGCTCCGTCGCTTCAGGCGTCGACCTCCAAATGGCCCGGACGCACGAGGCTCGCTCGTAACGGATGGACAAAACGGTCGCTAAACTGACGCGGTATCATACTGCGCTGTATGATGAACAACAACTAACAACAACCAGGAACAGGAGATGGTTGTAGGTGGGTGTTCCAAGGTCGAGTAGAAAATCCTTCAAGGAGTCGACCAGAGCGCACAGTCAGTGTAGTCTGCGACCAACACGCTGCATATTGGGACGAATATCCTGGATATTTATTATCCACGCGATGATTGTGCGGCGATCGGATCGGCATTTCGCCAGCAATCCCAGCTGTGCACTGATTGTGTGTCGGTATTAGACTGGTGATGACAAACAGCAGTCGGTATATGAAAGCACCGAGACCTCGCGAAGAGGATAATCACCGTTGCAGCGAGTCTACGTGCGTGCTCACTACCGTGCTCAATCGCTCACTTGCAAATTCGACTTGCACCACCACCACCACCACCACCTCCTCCTCTCCAAACCAAAGCAAACCAAGCGTCCACGATGGCTCAAGTTGTCAAGATCCATGGCGAAGGAGGCGTGCGTCTCGAGGCGTACGAGCGCCCAGCCACAGGCCCTCGCGACATCGTCGTCAAGCTCAAAGTGGCTGGGATCTGTGGCTCCGACCTCATGTACATCCGGATTGGCGGCATTCCGCCCGGACACGTTACGGCGATCGGGCACGAGGCGGCGGGCATCGTCATGGAGGTTGGCGACGAAGTGGAGGGCATCAGCGTTGGTATGCGCGTCGTCGTAAACCCAATGGAGACGCCGAGTAACATTGGCTCCGGAGGCCCGGAGGGTGCTTTCACGCAGGAGCTGCTGGTACGTGATGCCAAGCTCGGCGCTTCGGTGCTGCCCATTCCCGACGACATCCCGTACGAGGTTGCGGCTCTGTGCGAACCGCTAGCTGTCGCCATGCACGGTGTGAACCGTGCCAACGTCAAGGCTGGAGACAAGGTGGTCGTCTTCGGTTGCGGTCCAATCGGTCTTGGCATGTTGCTGTGGCTGGTGGATCGCGGCGTGACGGACGTTGTTGCCCTTGACTTGGCAGAGGAGCGGCTTGAACGTGCCCGGGCACTCGGTGTTCGCGCAGCTTTTGATCCCACCAAGGTGAACCTTCGCGAGGAGCTTGCCAAGCTGCACGGCGAAGTCCCGAGCTACAACCGACTTGGTGTTGGTACCGACGCCTTCATTGATGCCGCCGGAAAACCCAACATCTTGTCAGACGTTGTGGCGATGGCAAAGTATCACTCTCGTATGGTGATCACCGCAGCTCACATGAAGCCCCTCCAGTTCCCCGTTGGCCGCATGCTGACGAGCGAGATGACCATCACGACTGCTGTGGGGTACCCGACTGAGATGCCGGAGGTGATGGCGGCCATGCCCCGCCTAAAGTCGAAGATCGCGTCGCTGATCAGCCACCGTCTAGCGTTCCAAGACATCCTGGATGGACTCAAGATCGCTGGCACACCGTCATCCGCGAAAGTTGTCCTGGAGTTTGACTGAGCAAAGCACCGGGTTAATTTGGAAAAAAAATGACTTGTCCTCATAAAGCAAACCTGAACAAAACCTGAGTACTCTACGTAGTCACCTTGTCTGCTTCGAGTAGGCCACCAGGCTTTGACCTTGGTTGTCACCACTTTCAAATAACAAATGATCCATCTTGAGGAATAATAACACATACTCATTGATGTTAGCGCACAGGGGGACTCATCAAGATGCAATACCGGGGACTACTACACGGGGCGCTGGCTACGCCATCGTTCTAATCGGCGCAGAAGCGGTTCTGTATCCATTTCGTGACGAGCTTGGGTTCCATTTTCCTCGGTAGCTGGAGCGTTCGTGTGTGCATCTACATTATCACCAGCGTTCTCACGAGGCATCTCAGTGACCACGTCTGTTGGTGCAGGGGCTGGAGGCTGTGTTGGGCGATTAGAACCCCACAATGCCGATGCCAATGTAGATAGGCTCCAACGAAAGTCCTCTCCCAGGTCAATCACAGCATCGCCAAGTACTCCGTCCGCAGCCATGCCAGTACGGTCGGTATCACGTTGCTCCATAGCAATTCGCTGCTCCTCGAGGCGTCCATTTAGAATCCGCTCCATCGTGCGTTCCACGGATCGGGTGCGAGTAAGGTCCGCGTGGATTTCCTCCAACGTGTATTGCGGGAAGACCTCCCAAATCTGCTGTAGCATTTCTTGCGTCACTTCGAAGTTGCGTTCCCCACCACGGTGCCGCACAATTTCGAATGAGAAGTTCGGAAATGGCACCCACCGAGACAAAAATGCCGCTACAACACCAAGCACAACAACGCGTTAGTCTCTATAGACTGTCAGTGCATGATGGTGCGCGTAAAAACGTACTGCTAAAGCGAAGAACCTCCTCAGGAGCGGCAGCATTGGCACCTGCAGCTGCACCTGCTGCTGTCTGCGCTGGATCGAGCGCGTTGTTGGCGTTCACACGTTGTTGTTGCTGTGCAACACCTTGGCGATCATCCACCTCTGCTTCGGGTTGACGAGGTCGGTGCTCCTCGGGCTGGGCTGAGTTGTCTTCACACTTTCCACCGCAGACTTGCTTTCGACAAATCGGACAGCGCATAGATGTCGAACCTGCAGAGCCACCCTCAGCCGTAGCAGTCACCCCAGGAGGTAGAGGTCCCTCCATTCCCAAACCATTAGCCATACGCGTCAGTGGGTCCAAACCTGCGAGCGCATCGCTCACGGAGGCTTTTTGCAAGCACTGGCGAAGGCAAAGCCGGTGGAAAAGGTGGCCACAGCGCAGCTTCTTGGCCTGAGTCGACATGGACTTCAAGCAAATCGCGCACACGTCATCAGCCACACTCGCCAGCTCGTCCGGCGTCGCGTCAGGGAAGAGATGATCCAAGTCCAGCACCACTTGGTGGTACAACTTGACATGTTTCACCTTCTCTAGTAGTCTCACCGTGGCGTTCTTCACGTTGAGGATCAAGATAAGATCGAAGAGACTCACGCGGAACTGGTCTACGCTGATAACGTACAGGTAGTACAGCACGAGCTGCACCAGGTAGCACCCACTCAAGACGGTCTGAAGCAGAAGCAAGTGGAACTCGCTGTTCTCCGAGTACGCGGAGCCGGCCTCCTCTTCCTGCTCGGAGTAACTAGCACCACTCACGTCCAGACTGTGGAAGCCCACTTGAACGCCCAGCTCCAGCGTCTTCAGCAGCATCAGCGACGCCTCGAACCACGGCACGTGCACGATCCTCTCGGAGAAGAGGCCGAGGCGCGAGCACGTGGCCGCCAGCCCAAGATTTAGGGCGATAACGCCTCCCAGCACAGCCCCCAGCAGCTGCAGGTCCCGTAGCTGCGTCATGGGCCTCGTCAGCAGGTGCTGGAACCTCGCCTGTGCCAGCGCCAGCAGCGCGCGCAGCACGGCCAGCGCCGCAAGCCACACCACGAGCATGGCCAGCTCTGCTCGCTGTCCGTGCACTGCGGGCACCATGGTGCTCACCAGCAGCTGGCAGCGCAGCAGCACGAACGGGATGAGCGTCTCCTTGGTCTGCTGCAGCTCCAGCGGCCGCAGCGTGCCCAGCGCGGCGCGCGCGAGCAGCAGGAAGACATGGTACATGGTCACGAGGAAGAAGTGTAGCACGATCTGATTACAGCCGAATCAGATTGGAGTCAGAGTGATGGTCAATCAAACGCCACAAAACACGGTGGGAACGCACCACGGCGCTGATGCGCGAGCTCATGAGCTCCGTCGCGAAGAGCAGAGCCGCTGACGGCAGCGAGTCCGACGGAGGCATCTCGCGCAGTCGCTGCGCTGCCCCCGCGGCCGCGATGCCCGTGGCTGCCACGGTCAGCAGCAAGTAGCGGCGCCCGGTCACCAGCGCGCCCAGCTGCGTCGTGCGCGCAGCCTCCATCGTCTTTTGTAATGAGCTCGTCAAAGGCTTTCTGGATTCCTGTGTACCAAGTTTATGGTACTACAACCTCTATTATTTTCGACGAATCAGAAGAGGAGGATGGCGCTCAGTGCGAGACGCCGCGGCTCTGCACAGACGTTGAAGCAGAGCAAGAAGATGGCGGGACTGCTGGCTGGATCGGCGACGCCCCCGCATGGCGCGGCACTCGGCGGCGGGGCGGACGGACGCGTGGGGAAATAACGACGCGAGACCCGAGCTGCGCACGCTCCATGGGCGCGTGCTGCGGGTGTTGCTGCTGTGGTTCGTCTGTAGCGTGTGGGTGCTCGGAATCGCGGGCTTTGTGGCGCTCTGGGCGGCGTCGCTCTTCAACATCGCGCGATGGGTCTTGACGCAAGGCGGGGCGTCTGTGCCGCGCTACGTGCAGCTCTATCTGAGCTTCATGGCAGTGTACGAGGGCTACCACTACGCCACGAGGCCGTCCCGCCACCAGTGGCCGCTGATGCGGAGACTCATGCGCTATGTGTTCACGCAGTACCCGTACTTCCGCCTGAATGTGACGGTCTTCGAAGAGCGAGAGGAAGCGGAGAGGAAGTTAAGAAATGACGGAGGCAAGAAGGAGGGAACTACAGCAACTGCTGCTGCTTGCAAGGCTGTGGAGGAGAATGACCTGTCACCTTTTGTGCAGCCGAACGACCGCGCGCTGTTCGCCTTCCACCCGCACGGCGTGCTCTCGTGCGGCTGGTCCTTTGGAGGCGTGCACCACATGAGCTTCGAGCGCGCGGATTGCCGAGAGCCACGTCTTTTGGATCTTAGGGCGTTTCGGGACCGCGCGCGCGACAACATTCAAACTAAATTGATAAAAGCAATACGCTGGCAGATGTTTACCTCAAGGATTAGTTCGGACCAGCGCGACGTGGAGTCTCATCATTGGTTGAAAATCTATGTCACACGCCTTCTTTTCCGCTTAAGTACGCCAGAAATTCTCCCCTCCCTTCTTCCTCATTCCAGATTCTGCCGGCTGGAGTAAAGATGGTGAAGCTATTCTGTGCGATAGTTGGCGTGGCGGGCAGCGCGTTCCCAGTGGACATCGATGGGGGCCAGTCGGTTGGAGACTTGAAGAAGGCGATCAAGGCGGAGAGTGAGGACATTACCATCCCGGCAAAGGACCTGAAGCTCTTCCTGGCGAAGACGGAGGGCGGCGCGTGGCTGCCAGACGACGACCAAGCTGCGCTGGATCTGGAGGACGGAAAGGTTCATGAGGACATTCAAGCGTTGATCGATGGCGAGAAGATGAAGGCTACGTGGACAATTGAGGACGTGTTGACAGCTAACAATATGACCAAACGGAAAGGGCGCGCTCCAAAGTCGAGACAAATCCACGTGCTGGTGGTGGTTCCGGAGGGTGCATTTGGTTCAGCGAGCGAGACTTCCAAGATGGATCAACTCGTCGAAAAGGTTGACAAGATGTACGAGCAGACTGTGCTGGGGAAACGCAAATATGTCCACTCGGAGGTAACCTCGACCCAGGGCAGGCAGCTTCTGAACGACTTGGATATTCGGGTGGAATTTGTGCGCACAGTTCCATTCGATGCTGGAGAGGGTTCTTCAGTTGACCCATACGAGTGGAAACGAGTGATTATTGAGAACGGCGAAGAGGTCGTACTCACTGAGGAGCAGCAGCGCAAACGATATCGCCGATACGTGGAACACAACATTGGCACTGTGCTCAAGGAGACGCAACTTTGCGTGATTGGCGTGGAAAGAGGCACAAACATCCTCACAGTTAAAGTTCCTGGTCGCGAAATTGAGCTCGCTGGACGTACAGATCTCCTCATACTGAGTGATCTTGTTGCGATGAGGCCGACCGAGGTGCAGTACCTGCCTGGTGTGAAGATGCTGATCGAAGTGAAGAGAGACGTTAAGGCAAGCAACGACTTCCAGGCATTGTCGGAGCTGATCGCTTTGGATCTGCTCGTTGACGACCCAGTAATGGCGCTCCTTACTGATTTGGAAGGAGAGTGGATATTCTTCTGGGTGGCCGAGAAGATAAACAGTTCTGCCCGTATCCACAAAGCGGCGATCAACAAGCCAGGTGAAGCCTTCGAGGTAATTAGAGCGCTACTGGTGCAGCCACCGACTGCACCCGCTGATACTGATACCACCGAGATCAAGCTCCCGTATTTCCAAAGTCCCGTGAAGAGATTGAAGCTGAGAAAGGCGTTACCACCTATCGGAGAGGGTGGTGACAATGGCGGGATTCGTGAGAGCATCGAACGATACTATGACATCGCCAGTATGTTAGGTCCCGACATTGAGATGGCGCGTGCTGTGGCTCGGCAGGTCACTCGATCTATTCCCACGTTTAGTTATTTCAGCTGATTCTTGTTTGATGCAGCATTAATACATTGTTTTTTATTGATCCTGATAAATATAAAGTTACTAATATACAACGATGACGTACTCTCCTGAGCAATACCAAGCTAGCAAGGAACGTATCAAAGCAGCGCAGAAGCGCTACTACCAGCGCACACGCGAAGCCCGTTTATCTTATCAAAAAGACTACGATGACAAGAATAGAGACCAGATTCGAGCTCGCCAGCGTAAACCCAAAACCGAACTTATTGACGGTGAAGTCGAACCTAACAACGAAACCGAACTTAATTAATTAATTAATTTTTTTCTCAAATAAAAAGTCAATCCCAATATAGTCAAAGACAATGGCTTAAAACCTCCAAAAAGGTATAAGCCAAATATTTGAATTAATTAATTTCAGAATATATTGTAAATGACTAAGATATAAAGTCGATCCTGATACAAGGTCAAATAATTATAAAGTCATATCTACGGAGAATAATATAGTCAAGCATATATAGGCAACATGTTTGCATACGAACTCCAAGGATTAAAGAGATTAAATATCCAACCTATCAAATGGGGTAGTAGCTACCGCGTAAAGGTGCGTGGTAGAACGGGCAAGATGGTTTATGTTAGCAACGTTTCGCGTCCAATCAACAAGAGATTAGTATCTAAGCAGTACAATGTTTCAGTTGAAACCCTTGAGAAGCATATGTCGCTTGACTATAAGGCTGATCCCAAGTACCGATTTTACACTGGTAATCACATGGAATCACACGTATATGAGGGTATCGAGGCTACTGATTTCTACGATAAGATCGAGAACGTTCTTTTGACTCAGGCAAGTGCTTTTAAGGTAAATATTGCTCTTGGGTACGAACTTGTGAGCAAGACTGATCCTGATGACACTCGCTACTTCTACTCGAATCTCGCTAACACTTATGTATTCAATAAGCCCGTCGCAATCAATAGCAATGCGGATATTCGGAAGAAGGTGATTTCGGAAATCCGGTCTATGGAGTTGGCTGACAAGCTGAACTACAGCTTGGGGTATAAGCTTAAGGCGATCACTGCATTCAAGATTTTCGTCTACCATCGCGACCATGCTCTTGGGGATAGCAAAGCTGTTATTCCGAAGGTTATCCGCGAAAACAAGCATGTAATCAACTTCCCTAAGACCAACAACAAGTGCGTCTTCCACTGCATCGCCTGGCACACATTCCAGAGCGCTAAGAAGGATCCTCGTAGAATTCAGGCTCAGGTGAAGGAGGCATTCAAGCGCTACTGCTCTTTCAAGGGGGTGAAGTATACGTTGAGTCTATTTAGAAGCTTCAAGCCTATTGACCTACTACAGCTCGATGAGGTTGAGGACTGCTTCCAACTCGGTATTAACGTATATAGCATGGATGTAGCTACCGGGAACGTAGAATGCATTCGTAGGTCGGACAAGGGATATGAATCGATGGATATTCTATCACACGAGAATCACGCTCTCTACATCAAGGGCATCGATATGCTTCAGTCTAAGTATCAGTGTCCCAAGTGTGAAATGATTTTCGTGAGCGGTGAAAGACTCAAAAACCACAAGAAAAATCAGTGCGAACTTGTGAATATTGAGAGCTTCCCTGCTGAGCCAACTATCTACAAGCCAGCTCCTAACGCGATTCGATCACTGCTTGCAAAGTATTCCATTAAGGATGCTAACCAGTACATCGACCACTTCATTGTCTATGACTTTGAGGCAATTCTTAAGCCTACCGCGACTCAACACAGGGAAAGTACTGTCTTCACGAACGAACACATTCCGGTGTCTGTAAACGTAGCTGATAGCTTAACCGAGGAGGTGCGCTGCTTTGTGAATGATGATCCGAAGATGCTGCTGACGGATATGTTCAAATACATCGGTGATGTATCGCTGAAGATCCAACAGTACAATGTCGATAAGTATAAGTCGCTTCTGCAAAAAATCATCAACGCCCACGGTCTGACAGGTATGGAAGTTCCAGGCGTAAATCTTGGTAAGAAGTACAAGATGGCTGATGTGGAGAGTTGGATTAAGGAAGGGAAGTATGATAGCTTCTTCCACTTTCATAGCAGTCTTGGCTTTGGTAAGCAGAGGTCCGACTACGGGCGACTGAAACAGCAGATTGATCAGGTACCAGTATTTGGCTTTAGTTCTGGTCGATACGATATCAACTTGATTAAGAGCGACTTATTCGCCATCATCGGTACTGACAACATCAAATCTGTTATCAAGAACCCCAGCTACATGTGCATCGCTACATCGAACATGAAAATGCTCGATATTAGCAACTATGTACCGGCTGGTACCAGCTACGATAAGTATCTTACGACATATCTCGGTGGCTGCAAATGTGATGACAAAATTAGATGTGTCTGTGGTCTTGGTAAGGGTCTTTTCCCGTATGAGTACATCACCGCGTTCAATGTACTCAACCAGACTACTATCCCGCCTAAGTCAGCTTTTGACAGCAAGCTCCGTGGAACAAGCATCAGCGATGATGATTACGAGCGAGTAAAGTTTGTGTGGGGGTACTATGAGATGAAGTCCATCAAGGATCTACTGGTCTGGTACAACAATCTCGATGTAGTCCCATTCATCAAGGCTATCAAAGCCCAGCGCGAGCTATTCATGCGTTTCGATCTGGATATGTTTGCAGATGGAGTGTCGCTACCTGGACTTAGTGAGAAGGTTATGTATCAGACCTGCTTCAACAATCTCCAATACCCGGATAAGGCACCTGCTAACGCATTCCAATTTCCAACCCATCGTATGGGTGGCTACAAGAGTCAGGATGCGAAGGCAAAGCGGGAATTTGGTATGACACTTGCTCACTTGGATACATTGCTGCAAAAGCAAAAGTATCTGTGCGGTTTATGCTACTGTAAGCTGAACGCCGATACCGCTTCAGCAGACCGTATCAACAACAAGCTTGGGCATATCGATGGCAACATATTGGTTAGCTGTATCAAGTGCAACACTGCCCGTAAGGACATGTCGCTCAAGGGATTCCGCTATAAGAAATTGCTTGAGTTCAACTCGGACAGGCTGGTGTATAGCATTGATAAGGAGGAAAAAGATATCTACGCTAAGATGAAGGCCAACATTGCTGGAGGTCCATCTATTATCTTCAATCACTACGCTAAGCGCAACGAGACGAAGATTCGCGGAGGTAAGGTCTGTAAGAAAATTATCGGCTACGATGCCAACGCTCTATACCTATGGGCACTTGGTAATGAGATGCCATGCGGACGATTGACTACGATCGAGGCTTATGACGGCATTGTCGAGGACATCGTTTGTGATAAGATTTTCGGCTTCCTCGAGTGTGATATTCGCACACCAGAGCACTTGAAAGACTACTTTTCAGAGATGACCCCCATCTTTAAGAACACGCTAATCGACTGTGCTGATGAGAGTGTCATTGGTCATCACATGTACAAGTACAACGAGGCACGTAAGCAAAGCCGAGCAAAACCAGCTCGTAAGCTGATAGGTAGCTACTTTGGTGAAAAGATTCTCATATACGCACCTTTGCTCAAGTGGTATCTCTCTCACGGTTTGGAGATCACCAAGACTTACAGCTTCATCAAGGCGAAATCTCACAAGGCTTTTGCTCCATTTATGGAGGCTGTATCAAATGCCCGGCGAGAGGGTGATGTTGATAAGTCGAAGGCGATGATTGCTGAGATGATGAAACTTGTAGGCAACAGTGCTTTCGGTCGATCTGGAATGGATATGAGCAAGCACAAAGAGGTCAAGTACGAGTCGAATGACAAAGCTATTAAGAACAAGATTGAGCACTTTACGTTCCACGGGTTGGAGGAGCTTAATGATTCTTGTGAGATTATGATGAAAAAGCGTCGGCTTAACAACAAGAACCCGATCCATTTATCGATTGCTATCTATCAGCTCGCTAAGCTGCGCATGCTTCAGTTTTACTACGACTGCATCGACTATTACTTTGATCGATCAGACTTTCAATATCAGGAGATGGACACGGACAGTGGGTATATCGCGTTCAGCTGCGAGAACCCATTTAAAGAATGCATCAAGTCTGAGGTACGTGATCACTTCGATGAGCATAAGTATGAGTGGTTTCCGCGAGACTACAACGTCGAGGTAGCCAAGTTCGACCGCCGCACGCCTGGTCTATTCAAGGAAGAGTGGCGAGATGATGCAATGGTCTCATTATCATCTAAGAACTACATCTGCTATCTACCGGACGAGGAGCACAAGGTCAAAGTCAGTACTAAGGGTGTACAGCAGGGACGTGGTCGTAATGTTGATGTACTTAACCCAGATGGTTTCGAGACAGTTGTACGGGACCGCATCACACTTCGTGGTACTAACAAGGGTTTCAGACTATCGAAAGAAACCAAATCGATCATTACCTATACTCAAACCAAAACGCCCTTAATTATTGGTACGACAAGCGACAAGTCCTGGAAGATGGTATTTCCACGATCCCGCTTAATGTCTAAGGGGATATATCAAGCTGATGGTTATTTTTTCCCCTTTAAATATAAGATCATGTCTTCTCAAGAGCTACTAAAAATACTCTACTATGATCCAAAAACCGGTTTTATCGGCACTCAAGCTCTGTATCAGAAGGCCAAAGAGTTAGACCCTAAGATTACTATCAAAATCGTAAAGGAGTGGTATGCGAACCAGACCGATATTCAGCGATTTCAGGATCAGAAGAAGCGCTTTGATGGCTTTAAAATAGCTTCACCCAACCCCAACTCTTGGCAAATTGATCTTGCGTTTTGGGAAAAGCGACCAATTTTGACTGCTATCAATATCAACTCGAGGTTGGGCTTTGCGAAGGTCTTATCGAACAAGACAGCAGCAACTGTGTTAGCAGCGCTTAAAGCGTTTGTTCGACTCCATAAAGTGGATATCATTACAAGCGATAATGGTAGCTTGTTCATGAACTCGCAGGCTCAAGAGTTCTTCAAAACCAAGAAAATTGAGCACTACAACAACGAGCCCGGTGATCACGGAACCATGGGTAAAATCGAACGATTCAACAGAACGCTGAAGCAGAGACTAACTAAAATGTCCCCCAAGAGAATTTCGCAAAAGCTTATCACTGACGTTATCGAAAACTACAATACCACGTTTCATCGTTCGATTGGTATGACCCCAAATGAGGCAAAAGGCAAAGTAATGGATGCAGATCTGAGTCATAATCAGGTGGAAGCCGAAAGAATTGAGAAGGAGTTTGACGTCGGATCAAGCGTATTATACCGTCTCAAAAAGCAGGCATTTGATAAAGAAGCTGCTCGATGGAGCAAAGCAGTCTATAAAGTCGTTGCAATTGATGGCTACCGAGTCCAAATCCGTTCAAGAAATGGGCATACCCTCTACAAGGCGCCAAACGATCTTAAAATGGTTAAAACAGAGACTACAGATGCTACTATTAATCGAGGCGACATTCTTGAGGCGGAGAAAATCTTGGATCACAAGACGACACGGTCTGGGAAGTACAAATATCTGATCAAATGGCTTGGTAATGAGCCTGACTCCTGGAAGCCATTCTCAAATCTCCGTTTAATTAATAAAAAAAGACCGTCTGAGTTAGAGAAGGAATATTTTGGGGCTAAAGAAATTCCTTTCTGAAGCAACCACACCAGTCGTGGCTATCGAACTGAAGGCCACACATGTTCTTTTTTTAGTCGACAAGAGATCAGCTCTTGAGACGGAGTATTGGGCCCTAAAAAAATGAGACGTGATTAGCTTTAAAATTTAATTGAAAGAGACATCCTCTGTAAGCTATTTGACTCAAGTATATTATCCAATCTATTTTTCTGAGATTTTTGGGAAATATCTGACTTAATCATAGCAATACGATAGTAATGTGCCCAAGTTGTGTAGAGAAAGAACGTGAGCTCACTCAACTCCGGCGTAAGCTTTGGATCATTCAGGAGGTGAGTCGAATCAAGAATGAGTTGCTAAATCTTGATGCATGCGCGAATTTCCGCAAAACAGTAGTCAATCGAAAGTATCGACATGAGTTGGAAGCAATTTTTGGAGTTCCATTCCATTACATTAAGGATCGTTATCTAAATCTTCTAAATGAGCGGAATAGTATCTGTCATAACTATCAACCATTTAGACATGACTCAGTTATGCCGAGTTTGTGGTAAGGGTATTTAACATTACTCATTTTTTTATGATTCGTTTGATATAACAATAAAATGTTTCCTTCGTTCACATCCCTCGCTCAGAGAGAGCAAAAACGTCAGGAGCTCCTTGAAAGAGCTCAGCGCCGCGTTCGACAATCCAACACTAAGCGTCAGATGTATGCAGGAACGGCATGGGCAAGTGATATTACGAATGGGATTACTACAGTCCCAAAGAAATCAACAGAATCAACTCAGACTGATATGAGTGTTGGATCTGACGATACTATTCCAAACGAAGTAAAGCAAACAATGACTACTATGATTGATCAGGTAATTGCTCAATCTGAGTTAAAAAAAAAGCCTGAATGATAAAAACTCTCAAACAAACCCTGAGGTCTCAACTCCAAATGTTCGACCTGTGATGATCGATGTTGGAGTTCATAGCGGCGTGCAGATGGTAAATAGCTCAATTAATACTGATCGTGTTAATCAAACTGATAGAAATATTCAAGCGAGACCTCAAACATCTGATGTTGGTATCGATAACACACAGCAAACAGCTGATGTTGGAATCGACAATACTCCAAGAATGTTAGATGCTGAAACAAACATGAAAAAACTGGATACCGAAGATCAAGTGGAGGCGCGATCATGGGTTAAGAATTTGTTTAACGCCAATCCTAATTGGGTAGCGCTTCGAATTAAGCCAATCAAGCGTAAAACTGGTAAGGATGACAATAGATACTTTCTTGGTGAAAAGGGATCGTTAATTGCAGACAAAACGGGTAGAAAGAGTAAGACTTATCAATCGATTGACTGGGTGGCTACAGAGGAGAAGATTAGGGACATCTGGTATGATGGCGAAAGTAAATCAATCGATGAGAGCAGTTATATGAGACTTGAAGACCCTCTTTATCACGTTTCACTAACGCGAAAACGAAAAATCGCCGATCCAAGTGAAGGTGATGATGCATTCCGTTCAAGGCAACGTCTTGAAGATAGTTTTGAGTTGGACACATCGACTTCAACCTCATTAGATCAAGTTGATAGTAAGAATCGATTGCTTTGGTCTATTTTCAAGAATAAGGCAGTGCTTGTGTCGGCTGGTTTGAAAAAGAAAATCATTCCTATCCTCAAGAGCATGGGTAAAACATCTCAGATGGATAGAACTGGATACGTGTGGATTGATGGTTCATCAATTAGTGTATTTGGTATTGATAGTGAGAGAATCAAGCCAGCGATTACTAAACAAGTCGATTGGAGATCAACATTCCAAGAATTTATCGATTTAGTGAAAGATCGTGACGATATCGATCTATTTGCTAACGAAGACACCACCAAACTTGCAAAGGCCTTTGAGCCACGCGATGGTGAGGCTCGGCATGGAATTAAGATTGGAATTGATGAAGATATAAATAGTTCTCTAACTAATGCTGATAACGATGCGAAGAAGATTCTCATGGACTACTACAGCAAAATAGCATCTGAAGGAGTTCGAATTCCCTTTAGACTGAAACCAATAGTAGATACCAAAAGTGGTGTGAAAGCTAATCAAAATTACTACTTTAGTGAGCCTACCGCAGCAAAACCATTTTACATTAGAAACCACGAGAACAAAGCGGTTTCTGGCAAGGTTTTCAACGATCTTATGAAAACCATTAGATGGATGGATACTTTCATTAGCCTGATGACCGGGTTTGAAGACATAGAGCGATACGTTTATGAGAATGATGCTCCAGCATTGAATCAAAATCTCGAAGCTAATCTTCAGCTATTGAATCGAGCGATCCTCGACAATACAAAATCGACAGATACATCAGCTCGAATCAAATCCTCAGAGGGTACTCAATATCGCGATGACACTTTGCAAAAACTCCACGATGAGTCAGAAGCCGCATTCCTAAAGTATGGCGAAGCTCAGAGGAAATACGATGAGGCGAAGCGAACAGTAAAGGGTAATAACTCAAAATCCGCAAAGTCAGCGTTGAAGGCGGCGACCGCTGCCATGAAAGCGACCAAGGCTGTCTATCAAATCAAGGCTAAAAGCTACTCCGATGCTAAAAACTACACCGAGGTTGATCAATTCAGTCATAGACAAGACGAGCGCACGGTTCGCCAAACTGTGAATAACATGGTTGATCAGGTAAGGACGACAGGCGTGGGGTCAGGGGTTAAAAGGAAGCTTCAGGGTCGTGGGTTAAGAGGTGCTGGTGTTGCCCCGCTTGAAGGAGTTGTCCGTCGCGGGAGAACATACAACCTCAATGAGATCCAAGGTTTAGCCACCCCATCAGCATACATCATCGTCAGCTCGGTTCGAAGTACATTCGGATCCCCGACCTTGATAACAAAACTCTGGTCATTGTTCAGCCGAATCGACGCAAGTGCGGACCAAAGCGCGTAATCAGTGATCCGCTACAGTCAATGATTCGAACTCTCGCCTTCAAGCAGCATATCGATCAGGCAGAGTACGACAAGCTCAGTATCGATGATAAAAAGCTTTTCAAGGAGATTCTCGCGATTACTCATCTTCAGTACAATTTCCATGATCGGGTTGAGGATCCGTTAGAAGCTGTAAAAGCTGAATATGATAAGCTAAAAGGTGAGCTAGAACTCGGTAATGATAATCTTTCAATCATTAAGCAACTTAAATCGCTTAGTGTGGATATGTACAACACTCGAATGATTGATGAGAAAGAGTTCAAGGAAATTATCACGTGACTACTATAGAAACATGTTCTTTTTCAACCCCCGAATTATTTCCAGCTCAGCTGGTAGCTATGGAGACAACGCTGATCTCAACGTAGCCGAACTAAAAGCTATCATGAAAAATCTTATCATTCATGACCGCCCACAGAAGACTCAGGCAGCTGTTTGGGCTACTGACCTTGATAAGTCCATAAGGAAGGTTGATGCATCGACTCAGACAGAAGGAGGAAGAGTATGGGCTTACACAAGTAAGAAAACAAATAAAACTGTGAAGACCTTTGCTATTTAACGTCAGTTGTTTAAAGAGAAATTCCTTCTCTTACAAGCCGATTCTTGTATCCCTTGTAAATCTCTATTTTTTCTGATTCACTGATATTTCAATGATAGCTGACTCTCCTTTATCATTTTTCGTAGGTAGGAAAACGCTATCTCCCAGAACCACAATTTGATCGGCCCGCAGAAGTGTTGATTCAACAATTTGACCTGGTTCATCAGTTGTTAAATTAGTTTTTAGCTCTTTGCTTGGTCCGCAACCCATGGTTATTAGAACTCTGGTCTATACATTACCAAAGAAAGGTTTTTGAGAACCAAGAAGCGGTGTATGGTTTCGAAGTATCGATAGGTCCATGTCTCCTATAAAATCGCTGTTTTCGTTCAATATTACCATGGTCGTACTTACTGAATGCTCTCAATGGCGTGATGTCTCGATACTGTTGATAAGGTTCACCATTCCGCTTAATACCACCAAAAGATACAACTCGACCATCATCAAACACAGCATCATATTCCTTGTCTTTTCTCTTCGAAATACGAAATGTGAATGGCATGGTCTATATTAGAGATGATACCTGTGCTTCCAATTCCTCAATTCGATCCAAGAGATGTTGAATCATTTTCATATTGTATGCTGCAATTCGACTGTAATCAACGTTAAGTTGTGTTTTGGCAGGTTCAAACGATGGGTCTTCGCCTTCCTGAATATCATCGCGATAGAAAACACTGATTAAATCGGTTAGGTGGGCTGAGACAAGGTCTTGAGCTATGAGGCCCACCTCTTGACCAGGTCTATTTTCCGATTCGATCCAGTCATACAAAACTACATCACAATTATCGTAGAGTCGTTTGATGCGTTCGAGCGGACACGATTGAATGTTCCTCTTCAATCTGCGGTCGTTCGTCATCGCCATGGCTGTACAGGCAATGTATCCTCCGAATATACCCGCTACTGAATATGTGATCGGGCCAAGAGCGGATTCTGTAGCTCCACTATCTGTTCTGAGGCGATACACTGTCGTTCCGCCTGCTCCAAATACAAAGCTGTTGCTGCCAGGGACGTGCAGCGGAGCTGAAGGACTTGTAGTACCAAGACCAAGGCGACCTGTGGTAGTTAGAATCATCGACGTCGAGTTATTGACCCCAAATCTGAGGACGTTGTTTGTGATGTTCCCGATCCATGACGCGTTCGCTGTGGTTGATCGATTGCCATTATGGACTTGGATCTGGAATTGAACAGGAGTCGTATTCGACCCGGTTAGAGTCATCATTCGTGTGTAAGAACCATCAAGAAAGTCCAATCCACTACCAGTGATCGAGAAATATTCATTCGTTGCTGTAGAGTTGATCCCAAGCTCTGTCAGCGATCCTACTGTTGTTATAGCTGATTGGTTTCCATACGCTAAAAACCCATTGATAACGCCGGAGCAGCTGATATCCCCACTCGTTGACAGATTATTGAGCGAGAGGGAAGTCGGAATAGATGTTAAAAAGCTTGATAGGTCATAATACGTCGAGCCCTGGCGCAAGTTCGTGCAGGTCAGAGTAGTAGCCGTTACCGAACTTAGGCCTCCGATATTCGAGCTTGAGTCGCATAATAGGAATTTATTTGGCGTTGCGGTACCAAAACTAACTCCGTTTATGTATTCAAGAAGGCCCAAATCGTATATAGTCCCGTTCTGGCGATATTCTCGACAATCGATGTAGCTTGAAGTGCCTGTTATCGATATCGAGCGCGATGATCCACTGAACGATAAATTTCCACCGATCGTAAGACCTGATAAAGAGCCGAGAGACGTTATATTGGGTTGGGATCCGGTTTGTAGCGTTTCAGTAATAGTAGAAGCTCCAAAGCTATTAATTCCGCTGATATTGCCGGACGAATCGAGAATCAAAGTTTTGCTGTACGAAGCAGTTCCCGCTATTACTCCGCTAAGGTAGCCCATCCTGTAATCATCCTTGCTCAAATATAGTGTCTGCGCATAATCGTATGTTAGATAACCACTCGAGTCTAACGAAAGATAGAATGAAGGATCATAAATGGATGATTGAAATGTAGGCTGTGGATATGAAAAACCGGAACTCATTTTGTTTAATCCTATATAGATCAAACGATTTTAGTCATGAGTGCTATTCCCGATTTCGGGGCTTCGATTCCGAAAAAATTCAAGTCTGCTTCGATGGGTGATATCCCCGCATTGGATATGAAAGCTTTGTTTAGAATGGTTGTGCTCGGCCCAAGCTTTTCAGGGAAGAACAATCTTTGTATGTTTATTCTCAAGCATTCTCCTCACGTATTTGCTCATCTAACTATCATTGCTCGTAATCCCCATCAGGAGCTTTATGAGTATCTCCGGGAAAAATTGGAAGGATTCATCACATTTGCTGACCCAGATAGCCCTCCTAAAGTAGATCAGGTGCGTCATACTCCATTAAGCTCTAACAAACCGGAGCTTGTTATCATCGATGACTATAGCAATGATAAACTACTTCAGAAGAATATCTTCTCTCATTACTATACACGTGGGCGACACTTTAAACTCTCAACCATATTCCTAAGCCACAGCTACTTTGCCACTGATAAGATGATTCGGTTGAATTCAGAGTACGTAGCGATTCTAAAAGCGAATTCGAAGCGTGATTTACAGATGGTTGTAAAGGATTTTAACATCAAAGGCGTTGATGAACGATCAATCGTCTATTACTACAATAAAGCCACGGAGCGCAAAGGACAGATGCTGTTCGTGGATTCAGTCAAAGGTCAAATCAGATATAACTTCGATAGGCCGATCGATATTGAGCAATAATTTGAAAATATTTTGAGTGAATCAATATACATAAATCATGTGCGCTTCGTTTGTTAAACTCGATTCCACTAACCTCGTTCAAGACGGATACAACAGCACATGGAAATACAGCTTCCCTGGTAGTGCTGCCGATTTTAAGGATGTAGCATGTGCAGTTCAATCGATTTCGATGTATAACTCTGAATACAACATTGACGCCGCTCAATTCTGGAACAATTCCTTTAAAATTGAAGTTCAGACAGCTGGAACCACATCCACTGTATCTGTTAGCTTGCCCGATGGGCTTTACAGTTATACTGATATAAATCGAAGCATCCAGACAGCTCTCGTAAATGCTGGAGCGTATTTAATTAATCCATCGGGTGAGAACGTTTTCTATATTCAACTAACGGAAAACAGTGTGGATTATGCTGCTCAATTCGACTTTAGCGCTACTCCAACGACACTTCCTACGACTGGTGGCACTCGACCGGCAAGTGGTCTTTATTCGTCAGGCGGTACTGGTTTGCCAACAACAACGCGTGTCCCTCGCATCATCATCGATAATGCCGCTTTTGGTAAAGTAGTAGGATTGACTACTGGTACGTATCCTTCAGCGCCTGCAACGGTTTCAAGTGCTCAGCTCAGTAATACAATTCCTCAGATCCATCCTACATCTTCTTACATCATTCGTTGTGATCTAATTAAGAACGAGTATGTAGCCTCTGGTGATATTCTTAGTGCGTTTGATCGTGGTGATGCTCAGGTAGGTCAATTAATCAGCTATAAGCCAAGTCAATATGCCTGGATGAACTGTCATAACGGAGCGCGCACATCAATCACGATCTCAATCTTTAATCAGAATGACACAAAGGTTAAGTTCCGCGACACTTCAGTGAGCATCATGCTTCTGCTTCGTCCAAAAAAATAAATAATCGAATGACTAATCTTTTTATCCAACTCTCATAACCGAAAACTTCCCCCTCGCCGGTTAGCACGCAAAGCGGCCATTTTAGCCTTCATTTCAGGACTGCCTTTAGCTGGTTTCTTAGAAACTCCCACACCATAACGTCTCTTTACCTCACCTCGCACTGACTTGATTAGAGTTTCATGTTCCGGTTTGCTTGCTTTTGATAGTAGAAACTTCTCACCTGCATCGACTGCATCAGTTAGAACCCCCTTACGTTTAGCATACCCGAGAGCATTTTTTGCCGCCTTCTTAACATCCGCTATAGATACACGTCCTCCCTCTTTCTCTATATCACTGTCAGAGTCGTATAAACCAACTCCGGTCAATGACTTAATAGCTGCTCTCGCTGGGATTGCTGCTCGAGGGGCCCCAAACGCTGACGCAAGAGCCGGAACCGCCGCGTCTAATCCCTTTGAAAGCAATCCGCTGTCTTTTACAAATTTGAATACTGTCGATAACCCAGATTTGATTTTACTCCAAATGGATCCCCCTTGGAGCTTCTTGTATCCTTTCTTGATCTCATGACGTGTGATATCAAGTCTAACACCACGACCTGCCTTGCGAGCCTTTAGTGCTTTCTCATACGAAGCTGGGTGGAGATGGATAACAGAGCCTGAACCCTTGAGTTGGTTTGCAGTAAGACTTAGCTTACCTGTCTTGAGAGCTTTGGTCAGCTTGGCGGCTGGAACATCGCTGGAAATCGTCAATTCGCGATACATTATTGCTATATTCCCTAAAACATATTTAATACAGAATTTCAAATTCAGATCTTTCATGTTCTTAAATACATCAGGTCTGTTGTGCTGCTTGGAATATAACCAAAGCATACAGAAGGGTCCGCAATAGTCGCCATACGTACCTTGATATTGGTTGGTATTATATCGCCCGACTCCATACTTCGTAGGTGCCGCTTCTCCCATGCTATCAAAATATTCGCCATTGTGAACAGCTGTCCAGTGTCCTACATCCATATTAGGTTGTCGTAGCAAAATCAAATATGATCCATTCTTCGGAAGCGGCTGAGTGATCTCACTTGACTCGAATATATTATCGAGCTGAACCCCCATCTTCTCAGCGAGTTCAATAAGATCGTGATCACTGGTAATTGGCTTAACAAGGCTGTTCATAATAATTAATTTAACAAAACTATATTGATCGAGATATAGATTCAACGATGTCTGAAACACAACTTTCCGATCAATACCTTTACCAGAGCTCGCTCAAGAGTGATCCGGAGATTAAGGTCTCCTCTGGCAAGCGCGTGCCCTTTGTTATCGATCTTAACCAAGGTTCGTACCAAAACGGTATTATCACTATCGACGCTACGTCCCAGCTTAATGGTAGTGAAGGATTTGCCTGCCTCCGCGATGCTTACATTATGCTACCATACAAGGTTTCGATGAAGAACACGCACGCTACAAATGTACAGAACGCAGCCAACCGATTTTGTGTTGGTCTCAAGGGTGGCAACTTTAACGTCATCGATTCGATGTCGCTTGAACTCAATGGTAAAACCATTGTCTCGATGGCAGACTACAAGCTGTTTTGGAACAATATCCGTGCTCAGACCGGGTACAGCCCTCAGTATGTTGAGAAGCATGGTGCTGAATCGTTTCTATACCCGGATGCTGCTCAATCAACCAAGTACAGTAGTGTAACCGCTACTACCGGAGACGGGTATTCGAATAACACAGCAATCTCTACTACCTTCACCGCCGGTACTATTTCTGCTACGGCATCGGTAGCAAATGATGGTTTTACTAAGCGTCTTCTCTCTAACCCTCCAAATGCTGGAGCTGACTCATCTACGTCGTGGCCGTCTACTGGTGCTGCATCTGCCACGACTACCATTGCTAATCAACTTGGTCGCGGTGGTTCGTAGCTGGCGCTGGTTCACCTGGTGCTATTATGGGGACGTGGAACTATATGCTTAAGATTAAGCTTACTGATTTACATCTGATTTTCAAGGAGCTTGACTTGATGGCTAATCCACAAATTCGTCTTCGTTTCCGCGTTAACCAGGGCACTTCAGCTATTGATGTTGATGCATCGAGAAATATGACGCTAACGGGAACAACATTATCGAGCGGCAATGTATGTCCAGTAATGGTTGCTTCTGCGACCAGTCCAAACCCAATGTACAATGCTCTTAGTGTCGCTGGTTCCATTGCAGTTTCTTGGGGTGCTGTGGTTAACTCACTTGAGCCTACAATTGATGGAACCTACATGCCTTTCACGACTTCTCGACTGTATGTTCCTTTCGTTCATTTGGAGAACCCTCAGGCTATCATCTCTAAGCCCGTTAAGAAGGTTCGATACAACGATTGCTATGCCCAATGGTTCTACCAGCGCGCTGGTATAGGTAAGCAGTCGACTCAGCTTAATGCTGCATTTGATCTTCAGCTTTCGGCTTCTGTCAAGAATGCTAAGTATGTTATCCTCCTTCCTTTTGCCGAACAGACCGGTAGTTTTGCTTCTGCAGCTGTCCAAGAGTTTCAGAGTCCTTTCGATTCGGCTCCTTGGACTCTTCACCCTGGTTCGAGCATTCGCAACTTCAACGTCCGCATTGGTTCGCAACAGACCTTCGACATCAGCCATGACTATGACTTCCACCACTTTACCAACGAGATCGCTAAGATTGCTTCGATTAACGGTGATCTAACTCCCGAGCTGGTGAATGGTCTTCTTGACTATCAGACGTGGTCTCTAACTAACCGCGTCCTTATCGCTGACGTTAGCCGCCTGACGGAGCGTGATGTACCTCAGGCTAATCAGGTCCAGGGTGTCAACGCTGGTTGCCAGGGAACCAACATGCTTGTATTGGTTGTGAGTGAGCAAGAGCTCTCCTAGGATCGTCTAACGGGTGAAGTTCTTGATTTTACCACTGCTTAGATTTGGATTTAATATATATATATATATTTAATTAGGCTGTAAAGCCTCGACAAGCTTAGGACATTTCTCAATTACGAATGGGTTCTTACGAAGCCAATCGATATAATTAGAATCGGTGCGACTAATTTGTTTTAGCGTCTTACCCTTGTACTTGCCCCAACTCATCATATACGAGTTATCATTGGTTAGAAACTTGGAGTGGAGGAATATCTTGATTTCCTCACTAATATTGAGACTTGGTTGGTTGAGCATCCAGCGACAATAACCAGGATCAGAAGTGAATACTTCTTCGATCGGCGTGTTCTTGTATTTTCCAAAAGTTAGTTCGTTCGACATGTTATCAGCTATGTGTATCTATATACATAGGGTGTTAACTTTTTTTTGAGAAAAATAAATTAATTCTGAAATTCAGACGAAACCAACTGTTGTTAGATCTCAGTGGTCGAGCTGATCTGAAACCACCCTAAGATCGAAAAGACGTAGCTTTCGCTCTCAGGTGGTCGAGAGGTTTAGTCGTCGAAATGGCAGCTGGTCTGAAAGAAGGTTCCAGGAATGTTCTTGGTGGTAAATTACGGTAAGGAAAAAAACTGCCGGCGTAATGTTCCATGTCATACTACTCACGTTCCCGTATCTGCTGAAATTGCGATTGAAGCTGAACGAGCTCAAGATGTCTGGCGTGCTCTTCCTTGGTCGGCCCGAGTGTTTCTATCTACCGCGCACCGACGTGGACCTGATCACAGTTGTCGGCAAGCCCATCGCTTTGCCGAGCAGTGAGCATCCGACCAAAGACGACGTCAGAAAGTATCATGACCAGTACGTGGAAGCGCTGCAGCAACTTTTTGATCGCCACAAAGGAGCCTATGCAGTTGATCCGGCAGCCAGACTAGAAATTTACTACTAATTTACTAAGTAGTATTAGACAAGGGTGTGCGTGGACATCGTGCCATATGGAATACAGTGGTAACTTTTGGCGCGTATGCACCTGGAGTAAGGTACCAGCGACTTCTACTTACGATCAAAAGCCACAACGCCATTAGCTGGTAACGGTGTGCAGGGATTTTGAGACCATCCTAAGACGCTAGGTGGTAGCTAGTCAGCGACGCGATCTTCGAGGTTTTGGGCATGACGTTCGACAGCGGGTTGGCGCCAGCATCAAGTCTGTTGAGGCTCGAAACTTTTTACCCTGCAGCATGGCAAGCTCCTCGTGGAGATTCAACTCTGATGGAATCGAGAGCTCATGGCATCGAGTGCCCAGACAACGCCCAATGACCCTGTCGATATTCGCCATCAAATATCTTCATGACAGCAACGAGTCGTACTCCAAGAGCTCAGAACAATATTTCTTCTGGCGTACGAATATCGTCGTTCTTCATATTTGCTGCCTTGTCGATTGCCACGAGGACAGCAACGACGTCTTCCACCAAGCACTCCACTTCTCCATCCACTCCAGGTAAACTGAGACCCACACTTTCACACGGACGCAGAGCCTCCTCTAACGGCTTTGCAGTATGATCCACCATCACTGTTTCACCGTGGTCTATAAACCCGACAGCAACACCATCAGCTTTCATCGCTTGGACTTCCACCAACTCAGACCCACGAGACCGTTCAATATCAGTAGCAACATCATCAGTGGGCGGCAAATCAACAGACTCCGAATCCTCCACCGCGGCCTCGCACTGCTCGGGAACAGCCACCGCCGAAGCTTCCTCAGACACGTCCGCGTCGGCCTCAGCGACAGTCTCCGGCGACTCGGGTGCGCTGCTCTCGTCGCCCGTGACAGGCTCCGCCACCATGTCGGCGGCGATCACCACGTCCGCGACCAGGTTCTCGACGGCGGCCTCCACGTCGGCGTCCACCGCCGGCTCCGACTCGACCGGAGCGGCAGCTTCTTCGATTGCGGGCTCCTCCGCCACTGGCACGTCCGACGCGGGCTCGCACTGCTCGGGAACAGCCACCGCCGAAGCTTCCACGGACACGTCCGCGTCGGCCTCAGCGACAGTCTCCGGCGACCCCGGTGCGCTGCTCTCGTCACCCGTGA